TAATGGAGGTAATCCAATCTTTTGAATTATTCATGCATGCATTAGAAACTATCTTATAGTCTCATATTTTCATCTTGATTAATAAACTGTGAATTGTACACTGATAAACAGTGAATTATTCCTTTTTATTAATATCACAATTTAATTACATGATCATGATTTATGTATGGCCGTTCTACAATTTTCCCATTCCAACGTCAAATATACATTTTCATTTTTATTGCATTCAACTATTCCGCATGTTTTTTTTTTTTTTTACTTTACGATTTTATTATGCCATCTAATCAGAGTTATTACAATAAAACCTATTGTTTGATTATTTAATTTTTTATGTTGTCTCATGGGAGAACACATTTAGAATTTAATCATTTATATATTGTATATATAGGTCCAGGTTGTTCTTCTGTGGGATATGGAGCAACACAAGAAATTGGTCCTTTTCTCGTGGACACCAACGAAAACGGACTTAAATTTAATCCATACGCATGGAATAAAGGTGACCCTTTTTGCTTTTTATATAATTTTCTTATCTATAAGTAAATGAAAATGAATGTCATAACGAAAAAGGTTGATTTGCTGATGCAGAGGCCAACATGCTGTTTTTAGAATCTCCAGTCGGTGTTGGCTTTTCGTATTCAAACACAACTAGCGATTATCATAAACTTGACGATGACTTTACAGGCAAGTCCATTATTATTATAATAACGTTCTATATAATATAAAGTCTCTGTATTTAGACGAAGAATATAATATATGGTACGGACGTACTCTATAAACACAAGTACATAACTATATGCTTCGTGCTTTCTTCGATAACACTCATATGCTTCATTCTCTCTTCTTTCTTTTTCTTCTACGATCAGCAAGAGACGCATACACTTTTCTTTGCAACTGGTTCGAGAGGTTCCCAGAACACAAGGGAAATACGTTCTACATCGCAGGCGAAAGTTACGCAGGTTAACTAACGAATCATTTTGGTCTTACTGTTAATATCTTTAAATTTTTATAATTTTGGGGTCAACGTACGTATATTTGTAGGAAAATACGTACCCGAGCTAGCAGAGGTCGTGTACGATAACAATAACAAGAACAATGGTTCATCGCTTAAGATCAATCTTAAGGGTATTTTGGTACGTTTGGATCTTTTAATCACTATAATAATACTAGATTTTTTAACCAAAATAAAGTAAAATAATTAATTACAAATAAACCATGTGGTTGTAATCTAATATAGTTTTGTCTATTTGCATGGGGAGGTTCTAAAATTAGCATAAAAACTTACTGAACAAGTAATATAGTTACGTCGTATATATAACAGTATATTCTAAAGCCTAAATCCAATCCGTCCTAATTATTTATCTATTTGTTTTTATTTTTATCTTTGGGCGATGTATAGTTGGGGAATCCTGAGACATCAGATGCAGAAGATTGGAGAGGTTGGGTGGATTACGCATGGAGCCACGCGGTGATATCGGATGAGACCCATAGGATCATAAGCAGGACTTGCAATTTCAGCAGCGACAATACTTGGAGCGACGAAGAGTGCTCTGGTGCCGTAGCAGAAGTTCAAAAGCAGTACGACGAGATCGATATCTATAGCCTCTATACCTCGGTTTGTATAGGAGATTCTGCGAGTTCCTCTTACTTGGATTCAACTAAATTCTTCAAAACAGATTCTCACATTAGCTCTTCCAAGAGGGTACGTATAAGTGCATGTTTATATAAGTAATGTTTGAAACTATTTTTTTTTTTGTTCAGTAATTAACCGGGTTAGAATTTAAACCGAAAATTAGACTAATCTTTGAAACGTGGTACGTAGAAAACCGGAATAAACAAATTTCTATTGTTGGGATGAATCAGGTGCCGCCAAGGCGCTTGGGTGGATATGACCCATGCTTAGACGATTACGCGAGAACATTTTACAACAGAGCAGATGTTCAAAAGTCTCTTCATGCTAGTGATGGAGTTCATCTCAAGAACTGGAAGATTTGCAAGTACTTCTTCTAATGTGCTATATTGTTTTTTTTTTTTTTTTTTTTTTTTTTTTTTTAATATATGGTGGAACATATTGTCTGAATATATTATTTGGTATTGCAGCATGGAGATCTTTCATAATTGGACTTATTTAAAACCATCGGTTTTGCCTATCTACGAGAAACTTATCGCTGGAGGATTAAGAATTTGGGTTTACAGGTAAAATGCGTTCATGACCAATACTTATTTATCATAATGGTCATCGTCTTATTTATCATGATTAAAAAAAATTGATACATCATTTCTATGGATCTTTTACAATAATTACTTGATCGATTTAGGTCACAGCGCTAGTTTGAGTTTCTATTGGAATCTCCAGGTCATAGAAATAATACACCCGTAAATCAACGAACTAAAACTTCGTGATTAGTTTCACCTCGATTTCAAGTTTTTTTTTTAACAAAAACGAGAAGTTCAACACATGTAAACTTTTGTTGCTTATAATTACTATAGACTTTGACTTTTTTTTTAAAAAAAATTTGGTTGAGAGTTTTGTTATTCTCCAATGCATAAAGAACATTTCCACTAAACCGATAGTTTTATGTGATGGCTCAGTGGTGACACAGACGGAAGAGTTCCAGTACTCGCAACTCGGTATAGCTTAAGCGCACTCGAATTACCCATCAAGACAGCTTGGAGGCCATGGTACCATGAGAAACAGGTACCCATTGATCTAATAATTAGCCGATTATTTAAGTAGATTTCTTAATTCGAGTTTGAATTTTCTTGATGATGTTTAAATATAATTAAAATAAACAACAGGTAAGTGGGTGGCTTCAAGAGTACGAAGGGCTAACATTTGCTACGTTCAGAGGAGCTGGACATGCTGTGCCTAGTTTCAAACCAAGCAGTTCTCTTGCATTTTTCTCGGCCTTTCTCACTGGAATTCCTCCGCCACCGTCACGGTAGAGAAGCAAAGTTAACGATGAAAAACATGATTTACTATGTCTAATGAGGATCGTTAAGTTTTCAGAAAGTTGGAGAGAAACGGCAAAGAGGGGGAAACGGGATTGTACCTTCAAGAGAGAAGTTATATGTGAATTTCTGTGTGTTGATCATAATGATCAACGGATAAAACTTTCACCATTTTGAGATTGTGTAGTCACTTAAAAACTGTTTGAAATACAAATAATTTAAGATTATAATGATCAAAGGAAATCTTCAACTGTTTAAGATAATGTTCAAGTTTTGGTGCAATAACATTATATCTATGGAACTGAAATCCAAATTGGTAGTAGTCTGATTCCAAACACTTTTTTGGCACAAAAAATAGTAACTAGAACTTCGAATATGTATACAATACCTTATAAAAAAAAACCTTTATACGTCATTGCTGCAAAAGATCAAGGGAGATCAATTGTTTGGAATACTCTACCAACAATAAAGGCAGCATATGAATATGCTAATCTTTTTCTTTTAAGAACGTGCGGTCTGAAAAAAAAAAGAGTACCATTGAGATTTTTTTGGCGGTTTTTGTCATCACAAAGAGACTAGCAAGTTTGGCACACATTTTAATTTTGTAACTTATCTATGTATTTTTTCCTTCTTTCTTTCTGATTTCTTTGGCCAATATTATTTTATTATCTGTAAATAGCTTCTAAAATAGTTTCAACTTTTAAAATTTAACGGCTAAACTGTTATCAATTTTAAAAATATTAAACTAACTTATGATAAATTACTATTTTATTTTTATTTTCATGTAACCGTAGATTTTTGTTTCTTACTCAATAAACGATTACTGCCAAGGTGCCACCGTTGGTCAAAATCAAAGGCATATACATATTCACAGTCACAGATGTACATGTATGACACTCTTTAATCTGGGTAAGAATGACTACATGCATGCATCTACTTCATATTCCATTTATTCTAAATGTTTCCATCTTTCTTAATTCTTATAAATATTTCCATCTTATATTCATATTTACTTTTTATTAACATTATAATTTTATCATTTTTATGATGTCACATTTCTTATCCTATATATAAGATAACGGTCCGCCATATCATATCTAAGTTAGTAGTAGAATGCTCTTTATTTTTCATTATGGAATACAGTTATGGGACTTATAATAGGTTATCTTGTTATTGACCACCAACAAAATGAAGGAGATATTACAATATTAAAAAGGTTATCTAATATTTTTATTTTTAATAATTAATATGGAGATTTTTAAAGTAATTTTATGGTAGATCCTTGGTTGAAGAATTAATTCTGTGATTAGAAAATCATAATTCAAGTTATTTTATTACCGTTTTAATCATAGTTGACTACGATAAATATCTCATATTGCAAAAATATCAAATTTTTATAAATTAAGATTATTTTTAACGTCGATTTGGATTATCCTAGTTATTAAACAAAATAATGTTAAATGTTTTAACTATTTAACCAGAAATTGGTTAACAATCTACATTCTTGACAACCACACATTATTCATTAATTTTATATTTTGTCATCTATTCCATTATTTATTAGGAGAGTACATTTCAATTGTGAAAGAAAAAGGAGTGTCACACTTCATACCAAAAAAAAAAGAGTGTCACACTTTGTTTTTTGTTTGTTTTGTTTTTACACTAGTATGCCGCATGAACGGAGTGCAAGTTTGATTCTGCCACACTTTCGTCCACTTTTTGTCGCCTCTTCCGTATTGTCGCCTCCTCAATTCGCTTCTTTGGTTAGTAAATTTTTACGGTATATATTTTCCTCCGTTGTAGAAAGTTAAAAAATTCACGGTAATTTTCATTACCCACTTATTACCTATTCTACTTTTAGGGAAAATAAATTTTCCATTTCTGCTTGATACTTCTTATTTCGAGAAATCTATTCGAAGATGCCACGTGTCACAGTTGGATAAGTGATAGAATTGATATATGTGGAGCGTTAGCGTTAATAAATACTCTAAGCTTCACATGTTTTATCTCTTGCACTCCTTAAGTCTATTTTACTTTGTAAATCAATAACACTTAACTTTCTCTCGTTTTCTCCGTTGATGGGTGTGAAAACCTGTAAAGCTGAGGTAAAGCACACTTTTATCCTTTTCGCTTATTGCTTGTTAGTACTGAAACTTGATTTGATATCCTTATATTTGGTTCCTTTTTTTTTTGGTTGTTGTTATGAACTTTTGTTACAGCCTGTAAAAAGGCAACTAGCATCACTTAGAAGTAGTGAAATCAAACAAGATGTTAAACCTTCCTTGGTTTCTCCATCGTCATCGATCAAGGCCTCTAGATCTCCATTCGTGACCCCAAAAACTTCACGACGTGTTGCTTCGTCGGCTAAAGATATAAAAAATGCACCCAGAGAAATAACAAAGATCTCTAGTTCGAGCTGTGACTCGAGCAAATGGACAGGAAATTTCATTCTAATGGTCGAGCTTCGAAGGAAGATTATCACTTTTAGGGGCATCATTGACCTTCCTCCTCTTACCGGTTATCTTTCCATAACCAATGTAAGTTCACGGTTTTTGGGATAACTAATTAGGGACTGTTTTTTTTTAAAAGGATTAACTAATTAGGGACTGTTTAGCAAATCTTTAGTAGTATTTTCTTACATCTTTAATTTTGTGCCCATTCTTTTGCTCTTATTATGATTCTACCTCGGATACCATAATTATGGAAAATGAATATACATATATACAACTACGAAGTTGCCCTAATGATATCTTATAGAAGATGCTATACATATATGCTTAGCTATGAATAAGAAAAAATCAAAGATATAAGAAGATTTAACTATATATTTACATAGTAGTCCCTAACAATAATCGTGTTTTCTTATATAAACTCATAATAACACAGATTACTACTAACAAAATATGTAACCATTATGGGACTTTTTCATCTCTTTTTTGGGGGTGAAATATGAGCTTTAATTTCATTAACAAAAAAAAGAGGATAAATGTACTAACATAAATTCAGAATGTGAAGAAGTTGTCACTAGAAATCGAAGAAGCGCTTACATAGAGACAAATGAAAAGAATGATGAGTCGTGAGCTGTTTTTTTTTTTGTTATGTGATTTTTTTGCAGTAGCCAAATAGGTAAAACTAGTAAAAATTGATTTGACGAAAACCGCCACTTGATAATGTTTCATCGTTATATATAATTGATATTCTTGCGTTTTTGTTGGGTTTTGTTGTTGTTGTTGGTGGCTATTGCCCTATTGGTAGATGGTGATGCGTACGATGAAAGATCTCCATAAGCTTTGTCCTGAGATCGTTGAGAGCTCTCATCTCTTGGATATAAGACGTACAGATATCGACAAGGTCTTATGCAAATTCATCTCATAACTATATTATCTCTGAAACTTATGAGTTAAGTTAAGTTGTTTTTTTTTTTCTGATCAAAACTTAACTTGCAACAGTTGCTTGACCATTTTTACAACGCTTTGAAATCAATTGGAGATTCTTGGATCGATGACAACGAATGGATCATAAAATCCAAGTATAGGAGCACTAGCCTTAGGAAGAATCTCTCCGATCGTCTTGGTAAGCATTCCAAAAAGCTCTTATGATTCTTCTCAAGCAGATTTTGCTCCATTGTTGTAAACACAATCTCTTTCTTGCAGTGGAGAAGGTGTTAGCTGCATTAGATGGACTTATTAAGGGGATGAACGAGAGGCTCAACATGACAGAGATTGTCAATGGGGAAAAGAAGAAAAGGGTTAGTCCTCAGAGTAAAACATCGAACAAGCAAGCCTTATCGCCATCAAAACCAGTCACGAAGCAACCAGTCACGCCAAGAACGGTGATGAATCCACCGAAGAAAGTTGGAGGCTTGGCGATTTCTGTTTCAAATCTTCCAAGAAACGTGAGAATGCAAACGCTTGTAAAGCTGAGTCCTATCGATGTAAAGCGACTTGCTATCCAAAACATGTGCCACAAAGAAGCTCAGAGCAATAATGGTGATGGTGATAATGAGAGTGCTAAAGAGAAGAAGATTGAAACAGAGGAAATGGAGAAAGCAAAAGAAGCTATCCTTGAGGAGAAAGATACTGTGAAGAAGGAGACTGATGATAATAGTTGCTCAAAAGTTTCAGAGAAACCTGAAATTGTTCCGGAATCTTTGGCTCCGCTTCCTCCACCTTCAGGGGCTGCAGTATCGCCGCCACCACGACCACTTCCACTAACTGCTCTGCCTCCTCCACCTCCAGGGCTTGCAGCACTACCGCCACCACCGCCACTTCCAGTGGCTGCCGGAAAAGGACCGGGTGCACCACCACCACCGCCACTTCGCTTGGGAGCCAAGAAAGCAACAGGTAAACTAAAGAGATCAAGCCAACTAGGGGAAATCTACAGATTCCTCAAGGCGAAAATAGAAGGGAAAGATCCAGAAGCAAGATCTCGTGGCGCGTGCGGAGGAAGCAAAGCCGTGATTGGAACCGCTTCAGCCGGCGGAAAGCAAGGAATGGCTGATGCTCTTGCTGAGATAACAAAGAAGTAAATCAGATAACACACTTATGAACAGACAAAAACCATACATCAACGGTCAAAAACTGATACTTGGTTTATGTTTTTTATGGCTTTCACAGGTCACCTTATTTTCAGCAAATAGAAGCGGATGTTCAAATGTATATGAAAGCAATCAATGAGCTTAAAACAGAGATTTCCAAGTTCCAGAGTAAGAATATGACTGAGCTTCAGAGTTTCCACCGGCATGTCGAATCAGTGCTTGAGAAACTAACAGACGAAACACAGGTCAGTGACAACAACAAAAGTGATCGGTCTATGTCACAAGATTTCTTCACCATGTTATGGTTCTGTGATCACAAAAGATGTTTGAACTTGGTTAGGTTCTAGCGAAATGTGAAGGATTCCCGCAGAGTAAACTCGAAGCGATAAGAATGGCTGCTGCGTTGTACTCGAAGCTGCAGGGTATGGTTAAAGATCTGAAGAGCTGGAAGATAGAGTCTCCGGCAAACCAGCTTTTCGACAAGACTGAACGTTACTTTGCAAAGGCAAGTCATTTATACTTCAGTTTCTTCGCCCTTCTTTCTTGTTGTTTTGGGTTCTTTCCTCATTCCAGGTAGCTGAATTAATCTGAACAAAAACAGATCAGAAAAGAGATTGAAACTCTAGACCAGATCAAAGTAGAAGAGGAACAGAAGTTCAAGAGCCATAACATCCATTTCGACTTCAGTATCCTTGTTCAGATCAAGGAATCAATGGTTGACATCTCATCTGGCTGCATGGAACTGGCTTTAAAGGTAGGACTATTTGCAAGATCAAAACCTTCAAAGTTACAACACACTTTGCAAACCCTATTAAACGGAGTCTCTTGCATTGAATAAAACTCACAGGAAAAAAGAGAAGCAAAGATTGCATCGAATACTGTAGAATCACGCGGGGAAAAGTCGAGCATGGTCAAGAATAAGACTGTAGGATGCGCTAAAATGCTGTGGAGAGCATTTCAGTTTGCATTCAGAGTTTACACATTTGCCGGCGGACACGACGACCGAGCTGATAAGCTTACCAGAGAGTTGAGTGATGAGATCAAACTGATTCTCTGAAACCAAATGACTCTTGACTTCACCTCTCCCCTTGTATGTCTCAACTGAAAACGGCGGAAAAACGTTCTGTCTTTTCAGAAGACACTTGAAGAAGAGATATTTGATACCTAACAAAAATGTTGTAATCTAATCACCAAGAGGCTGTTGTAATGTGATGTGTCTTCTCATTGAACCTATAAATATGAAAGAAGAGTTATATTTGGCTCAAGGCCATGACAACTTCAAAGTTCAATTAAAAGAAACAGAGACAATTTCGAAAAATCCAGAATTAGATGGCCAAGTTCAGCCAGTGAAGGTTTCTGAGATCGAATCATACACGCATCACGCATGGAAGACGGATCTCAGGATCAAACCGAGTCCACTCATCCTCGATTAGTGAGGTTTGGACGTGAAGTTACCCCAAACGAGATCAATTGTTTGCCGACTACAGCTTAAAAAGAAACTCTACTATGCTGCGTATTTATATGTACACTAAAAAGTAGAGATGTTCATATTATCATTTTTTTTTTGAATATAATCATTTAACGATGTAAATGCAAGTAACATTAAAGAGAAAAATAGAAAAAAAGCAGCTGTAAAGCAAACTTGTATATATGAGTAAAGGGTATGAAGAAAACTACAAAAGAATGGAGTGTAGTAAGTAAAAGACAGCTAAAACAACCCTAAGCCGAGACAGACAGATCGTAAAACAAATTCTAAAAAGAGGGTATCTAACATACTAACTGTAGCATTATATCATACATCAACATGATCACTATGTATCACCAGAGTCAGTGATCACCCCAAAGCATTCCAAGTTTTTCTTTTTGCAGAAGCTGTACAGAGAATAAGGAGAATGAAGAATTAATTGTGCCCTTTTCGATCCGTTTTTTACGGTAATCTGCAGGACTCGATCACTTCCATCACTGCTTTGTGAGTCTCCGGAGGGATCATGTTCAGAGTGGTGTGAAATGCCTGAACAAAATAAAGCACACAATTACATTAAAGGATCTTGAAACCGAGCAGCCAATAAGTGTTCAAGAAACACATACCACAAATCTCTCCAAGACCGGTACAAGAATTGCGAGATTGCGTTTCGGGAGATAGTCTTTGATCGAGTTGCGTATACTTCTACTGCTAGTGGATTCAAGAACATGTTTAGTTTCTTTAGAAAGTTTAGATGGAATATAACGTAAAAATACGATTGAAAACGGAATAGACCTTTCAGTTGAAAGGAAGGCAAGTAGAAGAGCAGAGTATGCCTCCACAATCATCTTTTCCGCTTCCTTTTCGCCTTCTAAAACTGCTTCTTCGTCATCCTGAACACCAAAAAAAGAGCAAGTTTAATACATAAACTAAAACCCTTTTCTGGCGATTTCATAAGTACTAACAAGATCTAGTTAGTTGCTGCTACTCACTAAGGTGAAAGTAGTTGTTTCTTCTTTGGTGTCTGCTGATCCTTGATTGGTTAAAAAGATTGAACATAATAAAGGAATCATCTCCTGTTCACTCTCTTGCAACCCTTCTGGATTTGTAATAGGGAAACTAGCTGAAGCAAGCCGTGATCTAGAACAAAAAATCAGTTACCTGATTAGAGAAGAGAAACTACGCCGATAGAGTATGACTAGTTTTCAATTTGTATTGACTCAACCACATGATGGTAAATTCTGACTGCAAGAATTTTTATACCTGTTTACTCCGTCTTTCTCAACCAAATTTACTAGCAAACCCAAGATGGCAACAAGAAAATCTAACTCCTGATCTGTAAGATGCTTGTCTTTCTTCTGATGGGATCCCGTTTTTTCCATCTCACTGAAAAGCGGAGATCTGGTGAAAGACGGAAAGTGTCTGGCAATTAATTCAGCCATGCTTTCCAGCCCTCTGCACCCACCAACTTGCCGACAACCGACAGCGTTATCATTTGTTAAGTTCATCAAAACCTGCAAACAGATAATCATGAACTAAATTGATGCTATTCGGGCTCCGGAGACAGACGAGCAAACAAATGTTAAAAGACTGTAAGAAAAATACCTTTACGGCTGTTAGAAGGCAATCCGATAAGAGACATAGACATTCTTCATCAATGTCATTTGTAGAAGAAGATACTTGCAGCGATATACTGCAGCCTACGCCATTTGATTCTTCTTCCTGGGAATTCAACCTATGTTTTGATGATTTCTCTTGGCTCGAGAACGGCTGATACAAACGTTCATCTTTACTCTGTTTGTAGCATCCTTTCTTCTTTTGAGCTCTAGATTTCTTTTGCTTTACAGATACTATTGCCCACTTGGAAGGTTTAGAATCTTCCATGTCAAACGCAAAAGGATCTTGGTTTTCGTCAAGGGATGCAACATTTCTATTTCTTTTACAACTTGGTTCTCCAACTTGACTAGTCCTGGAAGTACTTCTGGCAATGCCACTACCCAATGACGCCAATCTGCCTGCAAATGACCCAGAGATGGCGGAACCGACTCTTGTTGGTGACGTAGTGGTCTCATTTCCAGACACACTTGTCTGAGAACCCGACATTGATGTCGGTGATAAATCTAAATCGATTATGGATTGACTTATCTGGGATACACTCCCATTCCTCGTGGAGATAGAGCCAAGGGTTGAACAAGTATCTGAACTTATTGTCACGACCTCATTGTTAACTGCAAAAGATAGAAGTGGCTTAACATCGAAAAATACAGAGACCAGAGGGAGGGAGGGAGGGGGGTAGCGAGACAGAGACTCAGTTGTAGCCATAAGAATGCATACCTTTGCAACCTGCTCCCATAATAGAATCACGATTACCACTATTTGAACAGTGAGGATTGACATTGTTCCTGTGAGGTCTTGGAAAACCTCCGCGTAGGTGAAGACCTAGCCATCAGTCCAACCAGCTATCAAGATAAGATACGATAGAACGGGAAGAAGTAATAATGTGTAACAAGTAAAAGCCAAACATTTTATCAATTGCGAACCTGAAAGAATCTTAATGACACTTATCGTGAGATCTGTGAAAGACATTCGGGATTCATGAGAACCCAAACATTTCTTAAATCCAAGCAAATGACTCTGAAAAAGAAAATTAGTGTTACACTTAATATTATCTCGGGAGCAGAGTTATATATACTGGAACTTGATAACAGGTGATTAACGTCAGAATCTCCAAAATATTGCCATGAATCTAGCAACCAATATACATAAAGGAATACCTGGTTGTCTGTGCTGAGGAACGTAGCATTCTCCATGATTTTCAGACATTTCAGAAGCAACATTAAATTCTGCTTATGCAGGTTATCTTTCTTATCCTGGAAGGAAAGTGTGTCCTGTTCCACCCAGCGCTGCAAATAAAATCTGTATTAGATTTTCTCATGTAATTGCAAACTTCCAGTAATCAAAGACAATAATGCACAAAGGAGAGTATAGCCACAATTTGTATCTTTAGATTCTTATTATAAAAGATAGTGGTGCAGAAGAAAAAAAAAATTGCAGGCCCACACCTCCATAACAGTGTGACAATCCATAATAACCTCAAGGACTGCATCGATTCCTCCTAGTTCTCGTAGTTTCTCCTTGAAATTCCCTCCGGTCTTTTTTACAGAACCAGAAGTATCTGGATGGGGGGAAACGAAACAAATTATTAACAATCAACAAAGGATCACAATATTATCACAGTAGAATATGTGGACGGTCAAATGAATTTAGGGAAGGAAAATAAATAACTGGGAGCACAGGAACTTTTCGTTACATAGTATCTACACCTAACTAATTCTAAGATGATCTTCTCTGAAATACTTAGCTAGTCATTATTTCCAACAGAAGAGGCAAGAAATTCAAATACCATCAAAAGAAATTTTGGATAAGCACGCCCTCTCCATGGCCAACAAAGCTACCCATTTCGTACTTAGCTCAGGTCTCGTTGTTTCAGCTTTATAGCTATCAATCGATCTCACTTCCTTGCAATTAACAAGAAGTTCCTGAACTCTAGAAAGTATAACACTGGAGCTTGGATCATTCATTTTTACTACATCCCGTGCTGCATCAACATCCTTAAGTACTGATAAGAGCTTAAATCCTATATTGCGCGGCTTCCCTTGGGCGCTAGTAACAATCACAGGTTTCAACAACTTTATCAGAAACTTGATGCACTGGGGTGACTCCATAAAGTGCTCGTCTTTACCCTGGAATTATGAAAAATAAATTGGTAGAGTTATGTAAAAGTCAATGAATCAAAGAATAAACAACACCATAAACATATTTAGCAGCATCTGTAAGTCACTTACATCAGCAGTTAGCACAAAGAATAGAGTGGCCGCGGCAAGATTGCTTGGTATGTCATCAAGGCTAAGACTCAAAATCGCATCAATTATTGATTGGGAGATCCTGAAACAATAAGCTCCCACAAAATTAGGGAAACATTTTTTGTGAGATTTCCTGATACTCGCATCCATTTAGAACTCAACCAACGGATCAATTGATGGGGCAGATACAAACTTTCCAGTCCTTGGAGATAACAAAACATATTCCAAAAACCTTACTTGGAGTGCATCATGATACGAACCTACTCTATACTATACAATTCCAATTCACAACAAACCAGAAACCCTAGCAATCCTCTACACTTTCATGCACTACTCACAACGACCAATGCGATCACAAATCTGATTCAGCTAAAGCGCAATCTGATTCAGCTAAAGCGCAATCTGATCCAGAATTCAACGCCCAGAATACAAGAGAGAGAAAATGAATCCACTGACTTCGTCAGCGTCGGTGAAATTGTATACAATCGTGCCCTAATCCAGAAGACCGGAAAATAACAAAAACCCAGAACCCAAAAACATCTTTTTCCAATAAATTGAACAAAATCAAACCCAGAAAACGAATGGAGAAATCGAAAAATCTAAGAAATAAGGGGCAAACGTACCCTTGAGCTCTCAAGGAGCGGCGCTGGTGTTGAGATGCGCAAATCGCGAGTAAAGACGACAGGCTAGCTCTTCTGATCCTCAGCTGCTGTCCTTTCCTCAACCCATCAAGCGCGAAGTTAACCTCGTCCTCGTGCTCCATTAGCTCTCCAAACTCCTGCGCCTCAAGCAACGTGGAAGTAAATGCGAAAGCTTCACCGTTCCTCGCTCTTTTCGCCCTCCGTACGCCTCCGTTAAGCGAATAATCCTCTTGGAAATTCGATCTCGGAGAAGAATGCCAGAGAGAGGACGAATCTTGACTGGAGAAAGGAAGAAGAGAGTAATCAAGGGGTTCGATGTCCGGAGACGAAGAGGAAGAGAGGTATTCCGCCTGCGAAACGGTCTCGTTTAGAGAGTCGGATAGGGTCCTCGGCGGCATGCCCGGCTTGCGGCGGCCGTACGTTCGCTCCATCATCGCCGAGCTCGTCGTCACGAGTCGTTGAATTTGCAGTTTTGGGGGAGATTTTAGGTAAGAAATCAAAAGAAGGGTATTTCGGGGATAAAACGACAACAAAACAAAAATAGTGCTCGTAAAGATCTCCCTTTAGCCCTGAAGAAGAGAGAGCAGCAAAGGCAATGGCCGTTGTTTTATGAACCTTTTAGATACAATGGTTTATAATTTTAATAAAAATGTTCATATTCAATTTTAGCATAATATAACCACATTTTCTGTGTTACAGTATGATTTTTGAGAATTTGTAAGTTGTGTTGATTTGGGGGTTTTCAAGTTGTGCTTGGGTAGTTGGTTTACTGTGTTTTAACGGGTCTTAATCGTAAGTAAAAACTGTAATTCTGACCCCCCCCCCCAACAAAAAATTTTAGTGTAATTTTAGCTACTTTTCTTACATCTGTGATATTAACACACTGTAAAAGCAAATTGGTTGGTTTAAGTTATGGTTTGGGTTTGATTGGGTGGGCTGAAAGGTCTTCTTGTGTGGGCTTGTGAAACCCAAGAGTAGTTATTCTGTTGAATGAGGGGTATGCTTTAAGAGCAAGCAAAGAAACAGACCACCGATGGTCGTTTTGTTTGTCATCGTTTTCGTTTCAAATCTAAGATTCAAATTCTTGAGAAGTTTTGGTGTAGCTGACTCATAGGAATAGAGGTTTTACTGATTATATAATCCAAATGCTTAATTTTAGAATTCATTTGTTTGATTCTAAAACTAGTTATTCTACCATGATTTTGCAACCCCCTACAAAAGTTTTGCAAATAAACTAAAACATAAAAAAACCAACACACACCCCCCCCCCCAAAATATAACAGAATCCATGCAATTTAAATTATTTCAATTAGACTATCTAAAAGTTTTAAGAAAGTATCTGAAATTACTAATTATTATTGATATTTTCTTTTGATTCATGCCAATGATGGCTTTTGATTCATGCCAATGATGGAAAAGTAACTAATTTATGCTAGTTTTGAAAACTATATATTCAATGTATTGTGGATTCAGGAAAAGTATAATTCAATGGTGAGAAAAATGGTTTAACCAAATGAAAAAATGTTAAGAAATTTATCTGAAATTAGTAATAATTATATTTTCTTTTGATTGATGACACTGATGGAAAGTCTGGAATTTATGCTATTTTAAATTATATTATTCAGTGTATACTGATAAATGATTCAGGAACATTTTCTACAATGCAATTTTTTTAAGAAATAAATATTTGACTAGCAGAAAATAATGAACAAAAGTATATTTGTTATTTTAAGGCTTAAAGCACAATCATGTACTATTTGATTTACGGTCATAGGGGGAAAAAATTCATTAATTGGCACGAGTTTTTTTCTCCGTATAAATACATCTATATAAACGTAATCAAGATTCACAATTTTTTATAAAAAAAAAACAATCATTTTCCGCTCTACAAAAAAAAATGGAGACAAAAATGCTTAAGTTGGTCTTCTTGGCCTCTCTTTTTATCACTGCAACGTGTAAGTTCTCATTTTTGGGTGGCAATTTGCATCGCAAAAGTATTTTCTGCTGATTCATTTTTTTTCTTTCTAACAATTTTTCCAGTGTATCAATTTTTGCGAAGGACGATAATTTCATTTCTTGGTTTACTTTGATTCATATGTCTCGTTATTCTTATTGTACATCACTACATTATAAACCGTATACATAAGCTATATAGAAGTGTTTTAGCACAAATCCCTGTTTTATTTTTAAAAGAAAAAAAAAACTTGCATAAGCATAATACAATATTGTTGATGTTCGAAAAAAATATTTTTTAATGCTCGAATGTACTAATATTAGTCCCCTCTCTAACTTTGTGCATTGATTAATGTAATTTCCACCTATAAATTTTAAATTTGACAAATAAAAAACAAATTATGGTGATTGCAGATTTTCACATGATAGCTGATGCTAGAGGACCCATAGTGAGCAGAAAGTGCATCAATGCAGACAACTGCCAATTATGGTGCGACGGCTGCACCAAATGCGAGTGCATTGACCACTTGTGCCAGTGCACCGCCCATCCTCCACCAGCCATCTAATCTGATTTTAAAATATATATTTTCTAATAGGAACTACATATGTATGCTTTTCTTATTAAAAGATGTGATCTTTGCATTCAAAATAAATAAAATCTAAACCTTATACAACATGAGTCTTTATCTTTTCTAAATTTATCGGAGCATATCTCCGGAATGTATATCTAGCCCACTAAGCGCAGGCGATATAGTGAAACCGTTACCGTCAATGCGGTAACAAGGATGCGCAAGCGGGACTGGTCGGTCAGGAATCGAAGGAACTTCGATGTCTCCTTCAAGCATTTTCAATGCATCTAATATCGTTGGCCTCAAAGCAACCAATACATGAGCGCACAAAATCCCAACTTGCAAGAACCTCTCCATAATCCCTTTCGGATTCGAGACACCCAACACTTCATCGTCTCCTCTCAACAAAGAAGCTGCAAGAGCCTCCTCTGTTTTCCCTGCTTTCACCAACGACCAAGCCCAATCCGTTATCAGAAACGTGTTTGGTGACCCGGAAGTAGACAGATCGAGAGCTTTCCTTCCACACATAATCTCCAACATAACAACACCGAAGCTATACACATCGCTTTTCTCCGTTAGCTGACCGTAGAGTGCATACTCTGGAGCCAAATAACCATGTGTTCCCGCCACTCTTGTAGTGAGATGAGACTCACCTTCTCTACTCTGTTTCGCTAACCCGAAATCAGCAACTCTCGCTCTCATATCCACATCTAGCAATATATTCGTACCTTTGATGTCACGGTGGTAAATCGCCGGTTTCACGCCGTAATGCAAGTAAGCTAAACCTTTGGCTACATCCAAAATGATACTCTTTCTCTGAGGCCAGCTCAATGGAGTCTTGTGAGTCTCGACTCGAGGAAACAAGTGATCATCGAGGTTACCATTAGACATGTAATCGTAAACAAGATATCTCTGACTCTCACCATCTTCATCAACCATACTACATCCTCTAAGTGGAACAAGGTTCCTATGCTTTAAATTGCTAATGATCTCAACCTCGTTGCGAAACTCTGCATCTCCTTGAAACTCTGATTCTATCACTTTCTTAACCGCGATAACCGATCCATCCGGTAAAACCCCTTTGTAAACGAAACCGAACCCGCCTCGACCGATGAAATTCTTCTGAGAGAAATTGTTTGTAGCTTTCTCGAGCTCCTCGATTTTGAACCAGATCGATCCAGTGTTTGGTCTCCATTTCGGTCTAGACTCTTGATCCTCCCAACCGACTTCTCCCTCTTTAACCGCTCTACCGAACCGTAAATACAAACCAATCAAACCGGCGATAACGAGAGCCGCGACAACAGCTCCGGTTATCCCTAAAACAAGAGCCACCGTGTGTCTTTTCTTCATTGAGCTCAACGGAGAAGTCAAGCTTAAAGAGAAGAGGCAAGACAAAGCGTCGTCGCTCTCAGGTCCTTTCTTATTGACGATACCAGCAGCGTAAAGAACAGCGAAATGGTAACAGTAGACACCATGAGAGGTATTACCGTCCAAACTAATCAGCTGTTTCTGAACCCTAAATCCCGCCGCCACGCAAGCGTCGCATCGTGTGAGATCTGTGAGGCCACTGTTGCAGGCGGAGTCTAGCGCCGTCGTGGAGCCGAGACGGGAGATCCAATCTTGCGTCGTTTGGATTCCGGCGCAGGTCTCGTTGTTGATGACGAACTGGTTCGGATCGAAGCAGACGGAGGTGAGATTCGAAGCTAGAGAGAGGGATTCGAGCTTCTTTTGGAGGTCGTTGAGGCAGGAGACGGAGGTGGCGAGATTTGGGAGACGGAAATTGGATGTTTGCTTGAGACGATGAGCGAGAGGGATTCCGATTAGAGTCAAGACTGATTGGCAGCAACTGTTCTTCCTCTCGATTGATGTATCGTAGCTTCGGCAATCGGTTGTGTTCCATGGGATTGTCTGGACATGGCTGAAACTCAAAGGACAAGTCGGTGACGGAGACGGAGATGGAGCGCAGATTGAGAGGTTGATCAAGGCGAAGAGGAGAGAAAGAAGAAAGAGAAGGTTTTTGAGGTTTGAGGTATTTGGTGGAGTCGATTTCGCCATGTTTGTGTTGGATTCTGGAGAAATCTGGGATATGGGTGTGGAGAATCTGAGGGAAAGTGAGTGATTGATTAGGATAATGGCCATGAAAATGGAGATGAGAACAAAAACTTGGATTCTTTTGGGAGGGTCAAAGAGGCTGCTTTGATCTGTTGACTTTGGAAGCAACATGGAAACTCTCTGAGCTTGTCCCTACCTGCAACTACCAACACTGGCGATGAAGATAGATATTCTTTTTAATAATCACGTTTTACCATAAGTAAAGTTTGAAGGGGGTGCAGAAATGTTAACTGATATGGTCCGTTTTGAGAGATTGAATGAGATCAGATTTTGGATCCAAAAGTGAAAATCACCACCAAGTCACCAAACTGTGCGCTCTCTGTTTTTACTTCTCTTCCAGACTTGCTAAATGTGTGTCCAGATTGTAAATTACTACTAGTTATCTTTGTTACAACTTACAAGTTACAACATTTCTTAGTTGTGGAAAAAAATAAACAAGGATTGTTTACATTTTTTCGTTTAAGTGGTTTTTCTTACGTTATATCTCTGACATTGTTTATTATCGGATGCCTTGCAAATTTACAATAGGATAACGAAACTTTAGTTTAGTTCTTTTTTGGTCAAACGACGAAACTTTAATTATGTTTAAGTGTAATCTAAGTGTACGTATTTCATTTTTTTTTTGGTTCTATCTAGAAAAATTTTAAATTTATTCTTTTAATTTTTTTGTGACAAAAGTCAAATCTGAAATGAAGGCAAAATAAAATATTTTATCTTGATAATTTAAAAAGGAGAAACAGAATTCTCCTAATAAAAGCATCCCAAACAACTCGGCTCTTCGTCTGTCTGTCTGTGTAATCTAATTCCTACGCACGACAAATTTCCTAATCTCTCTCTCTCTCTTCTCTTTCAGCCATTTTCCGATCATCTTCTTCTTCTTCTTCTTCTTCTTCTTCTAGATGCAATGGGGACTCCTCGATCGCCGGCGACAGATTTCTTCGGAATTTCCAAGACAGCATGCAAAGCATACAAGTCACTCGTCACCAAATTGCATCCTCTTTCTTCTCATCGCAAATCCGATTCCCACTCCGACGCCGATTCCGTACGTTTTTTTCTTTTATCATCTCCTCTATGGAATATTCTTCCTTGATGACACCAACGGATCATTTCCCGATCATCATATCATTTTCGTTTGCTTAGATAATCAATATTTTTTCTTGAAATAGCCTAGAAAATTTGTTCACCACATTGATCAAAGGGCCAAACAATCTTCGAAATATCTGATTATTATCGTTATGGATTTCGATTTTGGAAAAACAAAAACCTTTGAGAGTTGGAAACTCTGTTTTCGTAATATAAAGTTTGGATTTTTCAATTTTCAAATTGTAACAATCCAGATCGTGAGAATGTAATCGTTTGTGAAATTTTCAGGCAATCCACCAGAGATATCTGGAAGAAAAATTCGCGGAGGAAGATGATCTGATCGCTGCTCGGAGAGGTCTCCGGTTACAGAGCATGGACGATAGCTCCGTCTTCAAACGCCGATCTTCTCTCCTATCAAACTCAAGTAGCCGCCGCAGCCACACGCCACAAGCCAGACCGACATACCTCTCCTCCTCCGCCTCTTCCAACCGCCGATCTGCTTTCTCCAGAAGCATCAGCCGTAGAGACGAAGGAAGCAGCCACGGTGGCGCAGGGAGAAGCCATGGTCTGAAATCACGCCCTGTCTCGAACAACACGAGCCCAATGGCTTCACCTTTCACAAGCCCGAGAGGGAAAGATCAAACCTTAGGTGATTTGTTTGGCCCTGCACAGGGAGTTTCTTCTCCTCCAAGCTATAGCCCGATAAACGGCGTGAAGTCGTCTCCTACGTCGTCGATTTCGAAGAGTGGTAGCAAGAGAGATAAAGACGACAGAGGCTCGACGACGTCGACGTCGGTGCCGTTTTCGAAGAGCACCAGCACGAGACATTCGGAGAGGGATAGTGGAGGATCAATGGGGAAGAGCATTAGCCGGAGGAGCACCACGCCGATAGTTTTCTCGCAGTCAACGCCGCCGAAAAAACCACCGGCCGTGGAGAAAAAGCTTGAGTGTACGTTGGAAGAACTCTGCCATGGCGGAGTCAAGAACATCAAGATTACTAGAGACATCATCTCCGATGAAGGGTTTGTCTCTTTGCTCTTGATCTTTTGCATTTCGGTTTAAATTCTGTGTTAATTTATCTGCACATTCCCTTCTTTGTTGGTTTCATTCATTATGTTGTGTTATTGGAACAGATTGATAAAGAAACAAGAAGAAACGTTAAGAGTGAACATCAAACCCGGATGGAAGAAAGGGACGAAGATCACATTCGAAGGAGCAGGGAGCGAAAAACCGGGTTATCTCCCGGAAGACATTACATTCGTAGTTGAAGAAAAGAGACACCCTTTGTTCAAAAGACGCGGAGATGACTTAGAGATTGCGGTCGAGATTCCTCTTCTAAAGGCTTTAACGGGATGTAAACTCTCGGTGCCGCTACTTAGCGGCGAGTCTATGTCAATATCTGTAGGAGAAGTGATCTTTCATGGATTTGAGAAGGCGATTAAAGGTCAAGGTCTGCCAAATGCTAAAGAAGAAGGTAAACGAGGAGACTTGAAAATAACGTTTTTAGTGAATTTCCCAAAAGAGTTGAGCCAAGAACAACGATCAATGGCCTACGAGGTTTTGAAAGATTGTTCTTGGGCATAAAGGTTTCAATATATACATGGGTTTCATGCCATCCACTTCATGTCTTTTTCTTTATTCTTCTTTGTATATAAGTTTCACAAGTTGAGGGCTTGAGGCTTTAAAAGAATAAAAAGTTGAGATTCGTTGACACTTTTAGGCTTTAATTTATACTCTTTTTTTTTTTAATTGACCTAGCTGTGTTTATATTTCGTGTTGTGAATGATACAGTTATCTTCTTCTGCATCTACAGCTTATTGTCATTCTTGTGAAGCCTAAGGCTTAATTGATTTGGTTGGCATTTCTCTGTGACTAACAACTTAATTGGTTACGAATTGTTAGAACGGGTTACAAAGGTAAGAATCTATATAGTGAAACACCAATTCTACAACAACGACCGCATAGCGCAGTGGATTAGCGCGTCTGACTTCGGATCAGAAGGTCGTGGGTTCGACTCCCACTGTGGTCGCTTATTTTTATATTTCGATTTTGGAGAGTTATAAATAGGAAAAGGTCAACAATATATAAAGACAGAGATAAAAAAATAGAAAGACATTTACGAACAAACATGCATAAAACTTTTTGTCCGAATCCATATGACCTTTATTTGCAATTAAAGAACGGTCACATAAGTTTCAGCAATTTCAGTCTTGCTTCGTGCTCTGCATCCAGCTTCGGGGGAGTGTAACATCCGTGAAGATCCTCCACAATGTACTCCTTTGTGAGCTCTCTCTTGGTTAGAATATGGTAATGTCTCTGCCAAATCCTTTGAATGGCCATCGTAGCAGCAAGAAAACCATAAGCTAAGCCAAGAATGGCGAAGATGACGACAAACACAACAACAAGAGCGAAACAAGCTTCCATTGATGCAGGGAAACAATCCAAGATACCCCATCCGTAACAGCAGTTCTGGCACCCAGCCATCCTCGGGTCATTACCGTTGAGAGAAGAGCAATGAAGAATGAGCCCAAGAAACCCAATCAGCACAAAGAAGGTTACAACCCCTAAAGATTCATGATATACCAAACGTTTAAATCGCGTGTTCCAAAGAAAATTTTAGTTATGAAAAGAAAAGGAGTTAAAGATTCAGGGTTACCGATGCAGTAGTAAAACGGGATGGGATGTTTTGACAGTATACGATCCCAATCATCGTTGAAAGAGTTGCGAAACTCTCCGTCTTTGTCCATCATGTACGCAAATCCGGCCATCACAGCTATAACCTAGAATATCAAAGAAAGCTTCTTCTTTTCAGATGTCAAAGACAATCTCAATGGAAAAGATGCTTCAACAATCACAGTGAGCAGAATAGACAATTTGAAAGTCATCAAGTTCCATTGACAAATTGCAGTGACCAGGACAAGATTCGGATCTAGATTAACTTTGTGAACCAGAGAACAACAGTTATGACAACAGACAAAACTACTCTCAGGATATCGTAAGAAATGCATCATCATTCATGCTCAATAAGAACCAACTATGGAGGGAAGAGAGACTCACAGTCTGCACAGCGACGAAAACCAAAAGCACATCTCTGGCGACAAAGAGTCTGAATTTGGCTTTTCGACGCCAAGAGTTGTTATCTTCAAAGGGTTCGACACGGAGGTGGAACTGCGCTTTGCAGGTGGTGCAGTGAGAGAAAGCAAAACCTTCCTTGACGGATCGCCAATGATCGAGACATGAACGATGAACGAATTGCTGAGTGCCTTTGCACATACACGGTGATATCAGTTCATCGCCTAACAATTCGCTATCGTTCTCCAGACATATACGACAGCAAGGAGCTGATGCAGAACCACTCTCCAAATCTTCAGCATTTATCTCATCGGAAGGAGACGCAGAAGAAGAAGAAGATGGAGAATTTCCCAATAAGGGATCCGAATCACTCAGCTTCTGCGAATCCGGTGGCTGCAATTGTACTTCACCTTGCATCATTGATGAAACCTACGCTAACCCTAAATTTCAGAGGAAACAGGAAAAGGGAGAAATCTATGGATGTAAATCGATTGGTGAGATCGAAGGATTCGAATCGAATCGATCAAAAAAAAAATAGGGTCTATGAATTTCGGTCTGCTAGCAGAAATTCGTGCGAGGATGTGAGAAGTAGATTACAGAAGTGGAGAGAGCCAAAAATGGAGAAGGTCAATGCGGGAGAGAAAGAAAGAAAGCATTTTTGGGAGATGAGAAAAAGGAGGGACAAAAGTTTAATTGGGGTGAGAGAGGCTCGAACTCTCGACCTCAGGATCACTCAGAAGCTATGAGACCTACGCGCTAGCCAACTGCGCCACCACCCCATTTATGATTGGGTAAACGGTAAATCTATATGATGTAAATATTGGGTACACTTTATGGTAAAGAGACATTCATGATAGTATATAGAAAAAGTTTTGACTGTTTGACATTTTTTTCTTTTCTAAGACTGTTTGACATATACTGCTATTATTTGGTACACTTTACGGTAAAGAGACATTCATGATATATAGAAAATGTTTTTAGTGTTTGACATTTTTTTTTGTCTAAGACTGTTTGACATATACTACTATTATTTCAAATAATTTTGTTATGATACATAATCTGTTAGTGTTTATTATGAAAATCAAATATATGCCACACAGATTGCTTTAAGAACGTGTTCAATAGCTCTGAACGTCTCTTCTCTAAGAGCAACAAAGACAACGTGGTGAGCTCGGACAAAAGAATTTGGCATGAGTCTCGGTTGTGATAAGGCAATTTTAAATCACCAACATGATGAAATGGTCGATGTTGTTATGATCAGATTCCAGAACACGACTACAAAAAGGAAAAAGTTGATATCGTAAAGAAGTGAGCTTACTATGTAAGAAAAAGTAAGGAGTTTTCCATATAGTAAATCATTATTGTAAAGAAGTGAGCTTACTAATTAATTCAATATTCTACTATTACGGACCATCACATGAATGTCCTTTTTCACCCTTTCATTTTCTATTGACTTTAAAGATGAGTTCATCTCAATTTCATTGCATGTCAAAATAGGCTATTAAGCAACAAATTTAGAAATTATTATTTATCAGATTCAAAATATATATACAAAATATAATTTAACTATCTAAAAATATTTTAACACAATAGTTTTTACATTTTTTGCTTCGTTTTTTTATATATTTTGTTGATATATTTTGCTCAATTATTGCTCAAAATTTTGCTTATATTTTGCTTACTTTTAAACTTTAACCAAAAAACAAGATCTTAACATCTTAGAGTTATGCAAATTGCCAAAACACCAAGCTGAGAAAAAAATTTATATAATTGTTAATCATACAAAAACTAAAAGAAACATATCAACTTTAACTAAAATCGATGACAATAATAAAACTGAAATTGAAAGTATAGTAAATTGTTCTATAGTAGTTATGATTTCTTTGTAGCTATTAACATTTTCGTCATATACCCCTTTCTTGCGTAGATGATTAATCGGTTTTTGCTATATGTCGGAGCCGCCGTGACAGCATCTGAGTGAGGTGAAGTTTCCAGAGCCATCTTGTGCAACAATCAACACTGGCTTACTTTTGAGCACCTGTTATTTTACGTAATTAAAAAAAAACAGAGTAGATACGAAATTCAGTAAGCGGCGATAATTATGTAACAGGGACATTCCATAAGCTATTGAAAAATAATAATCAACGTTTTGCCTTTCGATCAAAGTTTTAATTGTTGTTATTCTTTTCAGATATACGTCAAGTACTTGGTTTTGGGCTCTAGAGCTTTTGGCAACTAGTTGATGGGCTTTATGTTGATTATTTTGGGTTTTTTATTAGGTAAGATTTTATTAATTGTGGGACTTTTCTAATCAATATGGAATAATGTGCTTTTTTGAAAAATTAAATTCAAAACATTTATCAAACAAGTTTTTTCTTAAAAACAAGTAAAAATAGTTTCTTAAAGAAACTTATTTTTTACAAACATATATCTAAAATGCAAAATCAAAAGAAATTAATATAAACGTGTAGAGGGTCAAACAGATTAATACAAATTTATATATGTACAGTGACTATGGTTTTTAAAAAGATTCGGTTTTTAAAAAAGATTCGGTGTATAGAAAGCTCCGGTTTACACAGAAATAAATTTTGGGTTTTTATGATTACCTCGGGAGAGGAATAGAGAAGATTCTTGTCAAGATCGGTTAGCCAAGACGGGAAGCCATCAGGACTACTATCTTGAGCTCGACGTCTTGCACCGGTGAAATGGAAATAAAGATGGCTAGAGCCACTCTAGCCCTAGAAATCAAGTCCTCGAGGTTTGCTTCGATCCCAAGTTTAGAGACGCCACCACTAATGCCGTCCGTAAGAGCACTGCTGAGCCAAGTGTGGACGTTTTCCGTAGGATTCAAGATTAGGAGTTCCTCCTCGGAGTTCCTCCAGTGAACTCACCATCCTATCTTTTGCCGAGTCCATAACCTAAACCCAACTGGCACCATAATCGCCTGGTTTCGGTGGCATCCTGCAGATGTATTAATGGTTATTTATTTCCCTTGTGTGAGTTTGAATGGCATATCCTCATCCAACTGGGCTGTTCCAGCTTTTTGCATGTAAACAGGTGACTCTACTACTTATAAACTTAATGTTGATAAATAGTACTATATTAGTATTTCTGAAGATAGTATCAAATAAAAAATTCATAATATTCATGAAAAAGCTCTCCAGATTGGTCATCAAGTACAATGTTTTATATGGATTTGATTTTATGTGTGAGACAATGACTCAGTGAGTGTATGATTATTTATTTAAAAAAAAATAGTTAATGACTTAAAAGTATTTAATATGGCATGCCGTATCAGGAATTGTCATACTTAAATACTAACCTTATATTTCCACGAAACAGAGCATGTCATTGGTATAATGGTACTTAAATCCATACAAAACAGAGAAAGACATTAAGTTGAAACAGAGCATAAGGCAATACAACACAATTACACAAAGTACAAGAATAAGATATCAAAATACCAAAATCAAAGCCCCTCTTGGTTAAATTTATGCTTTTTTTTTGGTTACTAATCTAAATAAAACGTTTCAAGTGGACAACATTGTATTAACTGAGGTTAGTGCGGCTACAACAACAATTAGGGACTCATAATTGCTAATTTATAACAACTTAACCCATTAATTTTGAGGAGAGCCTTCTTTAGATACACGTAATATTAACCGTCCGTTTATTAATAGAAGCTCAATGGTCCTTAAATCGAATCATAACTAAAACCGGATTTTCGATCGGGTCGTGTATTAAACGGTTGAACTGGCCGGTCAAGTCCAGCCATTTCTGCATTATTTATTTATCTAACGACTTTTAAAAAACAGCACATGAGGTGCATTAATGAAAGCAAATGAATTGAATAAAGAAAGAGAGAGACCGTTGGAGAAGAAGAAGAAGAAGTGGAAGCCACCATGTGCGGCGGTTTCTACTTGGTGCGGCATTCCATGAGCTTTCTCCTCCTTGACTGGACTATTTTATTTCTAAAATTAAATGAAGAAATAAAGCTAAACTTTTAGTATTATTCTCTCGCAATCACACAGATGCAGATCCCTTCACAAATTTTCTCGGGAGAAAAGATTGTTGCGACTTTCCCGGAAAATCTACTCGACAGAGATGGAGCATCTGATGAAGGAAGGGAGGTCTCTGGCAGAGACGCCGACTTACTCTGTTGCTTCGGTTGTTACTGTTTTGGTCTTTGTTTGCTTTCTCGTAGAACGCGCCATCTACAGATTTGGAAAGGTGAGAGATTTCGTTTTTGTTTTCTTTTCTACTCTATGTGTCTAGTGTCTACTAAGTGTTTGTAGAAATGCTCAGCTCAAAAAAGTAAAAAAGAGTGTGAGGAGTAATAATATTAATGTTTCTGCACTTGGGTACTAAAAGTCTTGCTCTTCCTTGATTCGTGAAGAGGATATTTGTTAATCTGATAATAGGCACTATAAAGTGTGAATTTTAGTAGACGATATGTTTATTCTCTGGGGATTTGTGTTAGATGAAGATGAGACGCTGATTTTCTCTTCTTTTGTGTGTTCAGTGGTTAAAGAAGACTAGAAGAAAGGCACTTTTTACTTCACTTGAGAAGATGAAAGAAGGTATGTCAAATAGTTCTTGAGTTGTTGTAATCCTAAGAAATTGTGCAGAAAATAGTTGGGAATACCTTTTTTTCTTATAAAGGATTTTGATTTGCTAAACTTTCTTCGTAGAGTTGATGTTGCTGGGACTTATATCACTGCTGTTGTCACAAAGCGCGAGATGGATCTCAGAAATCTGTGTAAACTCTTCCCTTTTCAACAGTAAATTCTACATCTGCTCTGAAGAGGACTATGGAATCCATAAGAAAGTTCTTCTGGAGCACACTTCTTCTACAAGCAACACTTCATTACCACATCATGGAATACATGGAGCCTCTCATCAATGTGGTCATGTAAGTGTCTAGTTATCTATCGACTAAGAGGTCTCTTTTCCATTTATTTTCAATGATATATAGCTGAACTGGAAACTTGGTCCAATTTCAGGGCCGGGAACCATTTGTGTCGTATGAGGGCCTCGAGCAACTCCTGAGATTCTTATTTGTCCTGGGTATCACTCATGTTCTGTACAGTGGCATTGCCATTGGTTTAGCCATGAGCAAGGTACACATTCTAGATCTTGAATCTGCATAAATGAGTGTTAAGATTTTATCTTCGATCTGAAAGTTGAGTTTATGCAGACGAACAGAACACGATACAATCAGAAACAGTGTTTTTTTTTTCTTTTTATCATTTGACACAGATTTACAGTTGGAGAAAATGGGAAGCCCAAGCGATCATAATGGCTGAAGCAGATATCCATGGTAAATGACAAAAGTTTTCTGTTTCTACTTAAAGTAAAATCTTGTATGTTTCTTTGATGAATCTCATCTCGAGGCACATGAGGAACTGTGCTAACTTAGAATTGGGAACAGCGTGAAACTAGGATTCATTTAAGATGTGCATTTTTATTGAGCAGTTGCAATTATCTCTTCTCCTTGGCTATCGAGTCACTTCCAGTGAACTTTTTTCAATACATAAATAAAATGATTTAATCTTCCAATTCTTCTTAATATATCCTCCTCTGCTTGTTATGGTTCAATAGCAAAGAAGACGAAGGTGATGATGCGGCAGTCTACATTTGTCTTCCATCATGCCTCTCATCCTTGGAGTAACAATCGTTTTCTCATCTGGATGGTAACTCTCCATGATTTTACCTTTTCTTTAATTTCATATTTCCAGTTGAGAACAATTTTGATACAGATGGTTATTCATAAATAGAGATCTGCACACTATCACAGAACATTGTTGAAAGAAAGAACAAAGACAAGAACTTGTTTCTCCAAAATTTATAGAATATATGTTTGTTGTTGCAGCTTTGTTTCTTGCGTCAGTTTAGAGGATCCATACGGAAGTCTGACTACTTTGCGCTTCGGTTAGGTTTCCTCACTGTGAGTAACTGAGTATCTTTATTTTGTTTGTTCTCTCTCTCAGCCTTTCCACTCAAACATAAAAAAAAATTGAAAAAAAAAACAAATTTTGAACTTAGATTGTGAAGATATGGTCGATCTCAGGCTTCTCATATGATCTGGTAGCTAGCATTATTGTACTGAAGTCGTGTTTGGTTACTTTGAATAATTCAGAAACATAACTTGCCTTTTACATACAACTTCCATATGTATATGGTGCGGAGCATGGAAGATGAGTTTCATGGCATTGTCGGAATAAGGTATGCTTTTATCAAAATTCAGAATTGATCTAGAATCTTTGATTTAACTACAATCAGAAAATTTCATAAGGCAATTACAGAATAGGACTGATGAATGTTTCTTGATGAATCAACAGCTGGCCGCTTTGGGTTTACGCTATAGTATGTATCTGCATAAATGTTCATGGTAACTTAACGGTTATATAGATACAAAGTGAATTTCAATTGTATCTTCGCATTTAAGCTTTGTCTTATTAAGTCGATGTTATTGTTGCAGGCCTGAATATGTACTTTTGGTTATCATTCATCCCTGCCATTGTAAGTGAAAAAAGCAAGAATAAGCAAGTAGAAAGCTTGAAGTTAACAAGGCACTAACACTCATCATATCTATTTTGTTTTGTAAGCTTGTCATGTTGGTTGGAACAAAACTTGAGCACGTTGTCTCAAAGCTTGCTCTTGAGGTTAAAGAGCAGCAGACAGGCACATCTGGTGGGGGTCAAGTGAAACCACGCGATGGACTCTTCTGGTTTGGGAAACCAGAAATTCTGTTACGGTTGATACAGTTTATCATTTTTCAGGTAAACAAAAAGAATTTTTCCTTTCTCAATCACATAAAACATGATTTTTGTTATTCACACATATTATCCTTATTTATTCTACCAATGCAGAATGCATTTGAGATGGCAACATTCATCTGGTTCTTGGTAAGACCTCCATAAAACATTCAATACTTAAATCAACTTTGTAAAAAAATTCAGATTTCTGACAAGATCTTTCATTTCATGTATCAGTGGGGAATCAAGGAAAGATCTTGCTTCATGAAGAACCACGTCATGATATCGAGCCGTCTGATTTCTGGGTGCGTTTCAAACACAAAACTATTTCAAAGCAACCTGCTGTATCTAATGGTTTTCTTTGTGTGAATGCAGGGTTCTTGTTCAGTTCTGGTGTAGTTATGGCACAGTGCCTCTCAATGTAATCGTCACTCAGGTTCGTTTAAATCTTTCCTATATCTACAAGCTCCATAATCATAAGCCTATCGACTAGAAATTGTTCATCAAAATTCTCTGGATATACCTGAATCTGAGCAGATGGGATCTCGGTGCAAGAAAGCCGTGATAGCAGAGAATGTAAGAGACTCGCTTCACAGCTGGTGCAAGAGAGTGAAAGAGAGATCTAAGCACGCGAGGTCTGTGTGTTCCCTCGACACAGCAACCATAGACGAGAGAGATGAGATCACAGTGGGAACATTGTCGAGGAGCTCATCGATGACTTCGCTGAATCAGATCACCATAAACTCCACAGACCAGGCAGAGTCCATATTTGGAGCAGGAGCTTCGTCGAGCAGTCCTCAAGATGAATACACTTCGAGAGTCGAAGAATATCTGTCAGAAACATACAATAACATCGGTTCGATGCAGCCTTTAAACGATGAGATTGAGATTGAGATTGAAAGTGAAGAAGATAACGGAAGGAGAGATCTGAGTGGGAGTGAAGAGAATAATGGTGATGTTGGAGAAACACTTTTTGAGTTGTTTAGGAGGACTTGATTTGATACCTGTTTCTTCTTCTTTTTGAAGTTTGGCCAAGTTGTAATTAAATTACTCGATATCAATAAAAGCATAAACTATTGTAACACTGTAACAGAGTAAAACTTTTTGTTGGTCCTTACTCCTTAACAAGGTTCTCATTCCTGTCTGAAGCGTTTTGGTTTCGCCTAAATTGTTTTTTTAATGCCATGAAAACTTGTTGGACAAAAGAAACACTTTTTTTTTTCTTCTTAACGTTGGAATCATTCTGTCTTCCATTACAGTTTTTGTTTTTAACATCCTCATTGAATTAAGTTCTTGTAGTTACATTGTTCATTCTACAACTCATCTGTATCCCTATATTACTAAATCACAAGTCACTGCACCAATTACATAGTAACATGTGGCAAAATTTTAAAAATATTAAAATAATATATAAAACAAAGCTGTAAAAATAGATTAGTTTAAAAAAAAAACTAAAAATTCCTAAATTTTTTGAATCCAAACCACGATTTCTAAAACAGTTCCAACTTCCTCTATCCTATACTAACAATTAGTCACGTTGAACTACAATTATCTTTTGATAATTTAAACTGTTTCAATCTCTGTCTCTATTTTCTTTTTCACCACCGATTCATCTTCTATTTCTTATATATATTCATTTTTTTCTTTTCTTTTTGTTTTTGATCTGGGATTCTGGTTTTCATTTTAATAGATACGTTTTCATTGTTGTCTCGAAGTTTGGGAAGAGAGCTGGCCACATGTGAAGGTTTCTCTCTCTTTTGTCTTCTCAAGCCTATAGCTTCCATGTAACCTCAATGATTCACAATTTTTCTTCCTTTATCTATGTAGATGGCATCACTTGCTAAATACTTCGGGCAAAGACATCAAGTGCACAAGTAAAATGTAACCGATACATTATGAGGAAGGAACGCTTTGCCAACTATCCCACACAACCATATTGCAGTAAGTTTTGACTTCACTCTCTAACCCATTTACATACGAGAAAAGTGAGTGCTTAACCTCTGAAACAATTATAAAGTAAAATCTCAATTGCTCAATTGTTCATACGAGAAGAGCGAGTGCCTAATCACAGCCATATTGCTCAATTGTTCCCATCTCCCACTTTCTAATATTCTATACGGTAATATTGTATTTAATGTAATTTTAATGAAAAAATTGACCCATGCGTAACATGGGTGATAATACTAGTCTAACTAATATAAACCAACAAAAGCTAGCGATGCATGCATTAGCACTCAAATGTAGATGATATTGCATTAGCTTTTTGAAGCCAACAAAAAGGTATAATTGAATTAGCTCTCTACATATATAATCACTTTTTTTGATCAACCATCTACAATCCAAATTGTAGATCACAATTTTAAGTGTACCCCCAAATTTTTTATTTTTTTTTACCATCATAACATTTAGAGGAGAGAAGACTATGCGAATATAAAAATAGAATAGAATACTACTAGTGAAGAAGACAAAAAGGATAGTCCTACACTCCTACTTAAAAAATAAATAAAAAGTCCAAAATCACTCCTCTTTTTGTGTGTTTAAGAAATTTTAAAAAATTAAAAAAAAAAAAATTAAAAGAAAAGAAAAGAAAAAAGGATAGCGTGAAAATGTCGACATAGTAAGCCAAGTATAGACAAGATTGAGAAACAGAGTAAGTGATCGCGTCAGTCTATACTGAGTGTTCAAAGTGCCACGGAGCGATCCTCTTCTCTCACTCCAACTTCCTGACAATGTCGACACTCTTTCGCTCTTTGCTTTCTTCTTCTCCTCGTTTCCTCCTTTTTCGGTTTCTCCTTTTAATTAAAGGTTTCGCTTTCTGCTCCTTGATCCCGAGGAAGAAGCCGCTCTTGTTCCCATGATCTTCGCCGACGTGGGTTTCGATTCGATTCCTCTCTCCGATTTTATTATTTTAATCAGATTCATGGCTTTTTAACTGATTTTTGAAATTCTCTTCTCTTCTTCTTAGGTTCTTTGGAAATCGTTTCCTTTATACTTGTTCGGATCAGGAAGAGATTCTCTCTCAGGTATTTCATCGAACACCTTCTTCAATTGTGAGTCAGATTCTGTTTCGAAATTGTCTATGGCTCGAAATTTACAGTCTGGTGTAGAAAATTCTCTAGCTTTCTTTAGCTGAGAGTACACAGTGAAACGAAATGAGATTTGTCCTTGATTGCTAATCTGTAAATGTTCTGACTTTCGTTATCTATTGCTATATGGACCTTGGAAAAACAAAAAAGAGTCCATTTTGCAGATAATTCCAGAGACAATGGCTTCTTCTACTCCTTCTAAAATCCTCTGTGACGCCGGAGAATCAGACCTATGTCGAGACGATTCAGCTGCGTTTCTACTCAAATTCATAGCAATTGCCTCAATTCTCATAGCCGGAGCTGCAGGTGTAGCCATACCTCTCATTGGCAGGAACCGCCGGTTCCTTAAAACCGAAGGAAATCTCTTTGTAGCAGCTAAAGCCTTTGCAGCTGGTGTCATACTCGCCACTGGATTTGTCCATATGCTTGCAGGCGGCACAGAAGCTTTAACCAATCCCTGCTTACCTGATTATCCTTGGTCCAAGTTTCCTTTTCCCGGCTTCTTTGCAATGGTCGCTGCTTTGGTAACTCTGCTTGTGGATTTCATGGGGACACAGTACTATGAGAGGAATCAAGAGAGGAATGAGGCAGCTAGCGAACCAGGCGTTGTTGAGTCTGGCCGTGAAGGGACTGCTGTTGCTCCTGAGAGAGTAAACGATAATAAGGTGTTTGGTGAAGAAGATGGTGGCGGTATTCACATTGTTGGCATTCGTGCTCATGCTGCTCACCATAGACATAGTCACTCTAATGGCCATGGTACATGTGATGGCCATGCTCATGGACATGGTCATGTGCACGGGAATTCAGATGTCGAAAATGGAGCTAGGCATGTTGTTGTTTCTCAGGTTTCAATCTCTTGTTTCCCTTTCGCAAACCTGTGTTTATGTTAAGAAACACTCTAGAAACACTTTATGTTAAGATCTCGTTTACATCATCTTGTCGAGTTATCTTACCTTTTTTCATTTATTGGTTTTTGCAGATATTGGAGCTAGGGATTGTGTCGCACTCAATCATCATTGGTTTATCCTTGGGGGTATCGCAGTCTCCATGCACAATCAGGCCTCTAATTGCAGCTCTATCATTTCACCAGTTCTTTGAAGGATTTGCGTTGGGAGGGTGCATCTCTCAAGCACAGTTCAGGAACAAATCAGCGATCATAATGGCTTGCTTCTTTGCACTAACAACACCGATAGGGATCGGGATGGGAACAGCAGTGGCGTCGTCTTTCAACACGCACAGCCCTGGAGCTCTAGTCACTGAAGGGATACTTGACTCGCTCTCGGCTGGGATACTGGTGTACATGGCTCTCGTGGACCTAATCGCAGCTGATTTTCTAAGCAAGAGGATGAGTTGTAATGTGAGGCTTCAAGTTGTGTCTTATGTAATGTTGTTCCTTGGCGCTGGACTTATGTCCGCACTCGCCATTTGGGCTTAGCCTTTTCAATTTACATATTTCTCTGCTCTAGAATCAAATAATATACGTCCTCGCAAATTCTTCTCTTTTTTTTTTTGTTGCTTTGATTCATACGATAATATAGAGGAACATGTTAAAAGGATAACAAAATATTGAAATTTGTGATCTTTATAAAAGGGTGGTCCAAATTAGCGAAAGTAACAAGAGAGAGAGATACATTCAGCTTTTCACATTTCATTGATGAAGCTTTTTAAAGCAATGATCTTAAACAATGGCTTCTTCTTTGTGGGTTTCGATGACGACATCAGAGGTTGGGTAAGCCACGCAGGTGAGAACATACCCGTCGTTCATCTGGTCATCGTCTAAGAAGCTCTGGTCAGACTGGTCAATGGAGCCAGAGACGACTTTCCCGGCGCAGCTCGAGCAAGATCCGGCACGGCATGAGTACGGCAGATCGATTCCGGCTTCCTCAGCGGCGTCGAGGACGTAGACGTCGTCTTCGCACTCCACTTCTTGCTCTCCCTCTGGAGTGATGAACTTGACCTTGTAGGTAGCCATGGCGGTGACGCGGCCGCCGCGTGCGGTGGAGGATTTGAGGCCGAAGAGGGATTGTGTGTTGGCCGCCGGGAGAGATCTGAGGCTGATTGGTGTCTGTTGGCGGCGGAGGAAAGAGGTGCTTACGATTGCGCTGGAGAGAGCTGTGGAAGCCATTGTAGTAAGAAAGACTTCTTCGTTTTCTTCTTCTTCTTCTGTTTGTGAGAGTGTGTGTGGCTTTGTTGAAATGGCGTACAAGGAGTGAGGAATAGAGGATTATAAAGGTGGTGTGATTTTGAACGTTATCTGCCACGTGGCGTAAGATATGTGGGTTATTGTGTTATCTTCTTGGTGATTGTCTCTGTGTCCGTGTTTTCCATTTGTGCACTCTCCCGTTGGTGAGAGTAATATGTGGTTAAAATTTGGAACAAGTCACTATCATAAAATATAGGACTTCGAAAATTCTAGACTTGTTGGGCTTTTGTAGAATGTCATGGATTCATAATCCTCGTCTTGTGGTTAACTTTTCTCTCATTCCCCAGTGTCCATTTTTGGTCGGGGGACCTACCTAAGCTTTCAGTGACCATAGCCAATGCATGTACTTTCTCAAAAAATTTTTTAGAACATGTACATCAGGGGATCAAGAGAGGTTTATGGCACAATTTTTGAGGAAAAAATCTTAATATTAAAGAGACAGTATCATCCCGACGAATCTGAAGAGACAGTATCATTCCAAAATGAAGCATCCTAATTGGTTAAAAATTATATTTTCAAATTAAAAAAAAAACTAAAACCAAAAAAAATATTATTACATACCCTATGCCCTTGCTCTTAGAGGGAGTGCTAGAGTATTCCAAATCACGGGCAGCACGGACCTCGTGAAACCAAATTAAACTGAACACCCATGCACGAGTGTTAACGCTCCCAATGCATGAGGATGATTAATTTGTTCACCTCTTACCGATGAGACAGACTATAATGGTACCAATCAATCTAATGCGGACACAAAAAATAGGTGGATTCTATCCAAATGCTCCTTAAGGACACCATATTCAAGGATCTAAAGTGAAGTGAAAACAAGAACAAAAAATCAAAAGGGAAAATGATTACAGGTGGTAGTAGTAGTAGTATAGTACACCGACTCAATTCTAATCTAATGAGAACAATTCACTTACCAAAAAAGAGAAGATAATAAGACAAAGACGATGAAGATACATATAGAGCCCCCCATTTAATATATATATGCTCCATCCTCCTCCCTCTCAATTTCTCTCCCTCTCTACTGTGTTTATATAATATATAACCCCATAAGAAGCTTCCTTCTAATTGGATGTTTTGTTTCCTCTTTTTTCAACAATTCGTCTACCACTCCTCTAGTCGCACTTGATGTTTCTGTAGATCCTCCTTACAAACAGATTTGATCCCAAGAATCCAACAGCTCCTGCAAAAATATTTTCACAGGAATAATTATTAGTCAAATCAGTAACATCACTCCCTAGTTTAAAGAGAGTGAGTGAGCTCACCGCAAAGGATTCCAAGTCCAAGACAGAACATCATGGTGTATCCAAAGTAGAAGCTTGTCTGGAAGAATCCAGACATCTTGGTCTTTACGTAGTAGTAATAGATGGAGTATAAGTAGACATAGACGGCCGTTGAAGCAGCAGAGAAAAACGAAGTCCATTGCCAGTGATAGTTCTCTGCATTCAGCAGGAAATAAGTTCCCACAATTGTCACACACACCGTCACTATTACCAGAATCACAAAAACCAGCAGCATGAACCCGTACACATAGTAAACCTGTCAGACCAAAAAAATAAATAAGAACCATCAGGAATAGTCAATAAGTGTGATAAGCCAGTACACAGTGAGACTACTTTAGAGGTTTGGTTGAGAGTTGAGAGTCTCTCATTAATCGAGTCTCTCTGGTTTGGTCAACTGGAACAAGTATCAGCATTTTCATAGCTTTGTTCTTATGAAAGTAACAACTTTTTACCTTGTAATTCCAGAAGGATGTGAAGACAAAGTACATCTCGATGAAGATGCTTCCAAATGGTAGCAAACCTCCCATCAGGGAGACAACTGATGGAGTTAAGTACCATTTCTTCTCAGGGATTGGACGAGGAATGGTCTTCACACGGCATGGATTGTTTGGAGCACCGCTCCAGTTTCTTCCAACGACTGTCCCGAGGAGTGCTAAGGGGAAGGAAATGAAACCCCAGATTACAAACACAACCACCATTGTCCCGAACGGAATAGCCGCAAGGGATCCATAGAATATGGCAATTGTGTTTAGGAGAAAGCCAATTCCAAAGCACAAAAAGGGGAAGAGAGAAGCCGTGAGGACCATGCACTTGATCCAATGTTTACCTGAACAAAATTAGGCATTAAAATCACATTTGAAAATTCAAAGGCGAAAGTAACACTAGACAGATCCGCCAAGAAGAATCAGTCATACCCCCGCTTCTCGAGTACATTCCACCACTCACGTAACCAGAGACAAAGGAAGTCAGAGCATAGCAAACTATGAAAGTTGTGACGATTGCTCCTCTCCTGAAATAATCAGAATACGAGGTGAGAAAAATCCAGCCAAAAAGCTGGGTCTGCTGCCAAATATACGACCAAACCAAAGATACTCTAAAGATCAAAGGAGAAAACCAGCACGAAAAGTTGGTCGCAAGTGCAAAGAAGAGTGTATTACATACCCAACATAGAGAGTCCCCACGATGGCCATCAATATGACAAGAAGAACAAGCAACGCCAACTGTGCACCTGTGCCAACAACAGCTGAGAGAAGAACCAGACTGTAAGGTGGTCTGAATACATCCCCATGCACAAGTTTCCAACCAGATTCTTCACTTACATCCCGTTCCTGTGCTCACCAATACTAATGTCAGAAATGGTTACATAGCCTCAAAAACAGAGAAAGAAGTGTTGGACAAACTGCCGAGGAAACAAAAAATTGACAAATAAAAGTTGAGGAAACATCACCAAGCTCTCGAGATCATCATCTTCACGAGCATATTTCGCATAATCATTTCTGAGAGTCCTCATCAAAATCATTGAGACCAATCCAGTGAGAAAGATAACCATCATGAACGAGTTGAAGATGGAGAACCAATGGATCTGTAATACGAAAAAAAAAAACTCTTAGAAAGCTTGTTCAAACATCTTGAAGAGATGAAATTTAGAAAGAAATTGCTTTATGAAACTGTTGTCCAGTAATAATCAAAGACAAAACGAGCGACATTCAGTATGATACATTATGAAACGTTACCTGGTGCTCAAAGAATGGATAATCCAGATATACGTCAAAACGGCGAGCAAATGTGACATTAGTTGGAATCCATTGCACAGAATATGTCAGATCGACTGTTCTCCCTGCTTCCAGTGGCCTTGGGTTGTCTTGAGTGAGATTAACATGAATGATCTATGAAAATAAATAAATAAGATAACAGCATGTAGCTCACATGATATCCATATTACTGCTTAATGGCGTAGCAACAACAGACCTGATCTTTGTTGTATTTAACAATAATGTTCTTATGTGTGTAGAGGACATGCTTTCCGTTTTCACTATTTTTGTCAGGATGCAGCTCACCCACGAAGCCTACAGTACCGATGAGACAGTATTAATACTATCTAAAATTTAAAAAGAAAAAATGATTAATTTGGAAATTTCAAGTAAATATACAAAAGTTCATACCCCACAAAGGCAGATCATCTGAAGTTAGAACCACCCGATGAAAGTCCACGCAAATCAGATGCCACAAAAAGAAAGTTGTGAGATATAAGGTTACGATCCAAAGAAGTTACCATTCCAGGTCTACTAATATGAGAACCAAAAGCATACAAACTTAACATAATAGAAAACAGCGACATCTTTTTCTCTGAAGAAAATATTTTTTTTTTTTCAGGCAACTTCAGCAAACTTTACATAACAGCAAACTCAGCAAACAAGAGAATATGAAACATACCCATAAAGAACTCAAACCAGTAGCTAGATTCGATGGCATCTTTAAAATGCTTGACCTTAGCTTCATCGAGTTCAAGCTGACAGATAACATTTCTGTCAACATTCTCTGTGGAAAAGGGTATTGTAATTAGAGCACAAGCAATATAATTAGTATTGAACAGATGCTAGGATAAGAACTAAAACATACTCAAGAACTTTATCGCGATCTCGCTATCAATCAGCTCATTTCCACCAAGAACTTCGCCAAGACCACCCCATTTGTGAACATCATTTTTAGAAGGGCGGCAAAATGGAAGACTGTAATAGTTGTATGTTTCTTGTGGATTGTTATATGGGCCAACTTTGTTCACCCACAGGGTAACCTGCTCATCAGCTTGATACTGAAAAAAAAAAAATTGCAAGCAAAAGCATTGAGTTGACAGAAATGAAAAGAAATGATACTTGGATCATCACAGAGCGTTCCGCTATAATTTTGGTATTTCAGAGAAATATTAGTCGCTAGACTAATCTCTTGATAGGCCAACAGATTTCACTAGCAATAACGCATCACCTGCCTATATCTCACACAGAGACAGAATAGATTGAGTTGGAATCGACCAATTATGAGCTAAAACTGGCCACTAGCAGGAAAAACTGTAAATGTTGCATAAAAAGACGCGATTCCAGAAGCCTAAATCACATTACTCGATCGGAGAACGAATAGATCCAACAAAGAAAATAGTCAATCACAAACACCATGCAAATCACGAGATCTACAGACACAGTAGTCGATTCGAGCTGTTTAAAAAACTAAACTGCAGGCACCGGAGATTCGAATCTAACCTTGTGATCTGAATCGGAGCCGAGAGCAGATGCTAGAAGGGAAACGAGAAGAAGGAATACGACGGCGGAGGAAGACGACATGGCGAAAACCGGCGGACGATCAGATCTGAGGAAGACGGAGAAGGTAGTGGAAATGCGTTAGGACAATGACTATACTCGATGATCTGGATCAATTTGGCGTATATTGCATCTTTGACAATACAATATGAGCTCTCTCGTTTCTCGGCAGCGAGTGATCGAGAGAGCGAGAGACCAACGAAGAGAAGAGAGCACAGTGATGTTGTTCGGCTGAGATCCTCAGTGTAATTGCTTTTGGGTAATAAAAAAAGAAAATGATAAAAGCTCAGAGCTCGATTCAATCAGTTATTGGGCCTATAGACTTTAAAACCTATATATTAGTGTTTAGGCCCATAGAGTATTTGAGTGTTCCCTAAACATAACTATTCAAAAATTACATGTTTTGGCCGACAAAACCGCAGGAAACACGCTTTAATACTAGGTTTTAAACCATCCACAACCCTGAATCCATCATGGCTTCATCAGCGTTTTTTAATAATTTTTGGAGGAGAAAGAATATAGAAGAACCTTAGGTGAACCTGGGGTGAAAAATGGGTGTCCAACCCTGATACCCATTTTAGAGTTCAACAGAATAAAATAATAATTTTTTTTAACTATTTTAAACATTTAAATAAAATAAAATGAAAAGAGTGAAAATTGAGAAAACCAAAGGTAGAGGTTCTTAAATTGAGAAAACAGAAGTGAAAATAAAACTAGTAATCTTCTAGATGTCCAAATTTATGCCAAAGGTAGAGGGTATTTTTTTCTAAGCTGTAGCGTGCTCTAGAGTACATTCTCGTGCTTTTTCATTGAAACCCGCATTGTCTTCTTTGTATTGCTTCGCTTTGGTTTCATCAAAGTAGCCCCCCTCACCTATTTCGGGGTTTGTCAGCATCTCATGAAGATTAATGAACATCTTATGGATGGTGTGACTAGGCGAGAAGTAGTCCGTTGTCAGCATCCTTAGGAAGATATGACCACGATCTCCTACATTGGGATGAAAGATTTTGGTTCTGAAGGAGACCTGCAGAAAATAAATATTCAGCAAGCGATTACTACAAAACTCTGAACCGTTTAAGGCGTCATACCTTTGGTGGCTTGAACGGGTATTCCAGAGGGAAGTCCATGCTGATTTTGAAGACTCCGTTTTCGTAGGGCGATCCTGCTGGTCCGAACAGCTCACCCTCCCAATAAAACAGCTTTCCATCTACGGGGCCTGCCTTGTAGAGCGGACTCTTAACCCTCGCAATCTTTTTTTTCTGCTTGATTATGGTTCTCGCCCAATACTCTGTCCACAACAAACGATTTGATCATTTGAGTTACATAAATATCCGAACCAAATGAGAAAAACAAAACTTGAAAACAAACCTAAACTCATGTAACTACTTAAACCTAATCATTTGATATAACCAGAACACGATTACAATACGATGTCTCTAAACATTCGATACTCCTAAACACACAATGAACCATTTCAACCTAAACATTCGATATGACCTAAACATTCAATACTTGAAAACACACAATGAACCATTTCAACTCACACAAGCGATTCACACAAGCGATCAACAATTCGATTAACTCACACAAGCGATTAACTTACACAATTCGATTAACTCACACAAGCAATTAACTCACACAAGCGAACCAAAATTTATAAAAGCCCCAAGCGAATTAGAAGCTAATTGCAATCCCAAATGAAAGCCCCAAAATTTATAAACATTTTCGAAAACCCTAAATTCAAAACATCAAATTTTAAAACCCTAATACGCGAAATCCGGAAACCGATTGAATATAAGAACAATGAATCGCAAACAACCCTAAACCCTAAACCTAAAAGCCCCCAAAAAAATTTCCGGAAGAACCCTAATTTTTCCCCAATTTTGAAAACCCTAAATTTTCCCCCAATTTTGAAAACCCCAATTTTCCCCCAATTTTAAAAGACTTCTAAAGGATATAAACGACTTACCATACTGATCGACCGAAGGGGAAGCGACGGAGATTCGATCGGAGGGGAAGATTGGATTCGAAGTCGCGATTGTCGAAAGAGAAAAAGTTTCTCGATGGAAGAAGAGAAAAATGAAAAATTGTCGACCAAAATTGATTTTCAACCCAAAAAATTTTCTCAACCACGGGCCAATACGAACACGACATCTGGCAGATGAACCTTAATGATACGGGTTCGTCACACTGATCCTGAAGATACGGTATCGTTCAAATATTTGGGTTCAACAATTAAAAAAAACTAAAAAAATTGCTTTGGGTCCCACGGATGAACCCCATCCATACCGCTTTGTGGATGGTCTTAGAAACTTCGCTTTGTTGTCAAAATTGGGTATCTATTTTATTTTATTTTTGCGCCAAAACAGATAATTTTCTTTTATTTTGCGCCAAAACATCAAATCCAGATTACTTATTGTACAATTATTTCAAAATTTAATTTTTTTTTTGTAAAATTTTCATTTTAAAAGTTAAATTAATCAAAAATAAATAAATTGGAAATTTAAATTAAACATGCCCTTTAATTCATTTGGTCATAAGTTACAAACATATAAACAAACAAAAATTGCAACCAAAATTAAAAACGAACCGCGTCTGCATATATAATATTTCGGTTATACAAACGAATATGGCTTATATTGATTTGTTTACCTTAAGCATCTTTTAATTTCCCTATTTTAAATTCCGTGATTAGGGAAAAGAAAAGGGAAAGTGGCGTGTTGGTGACAGAAACGAAACTGGATTTCATTTCCGTACAACGGCACTCGAATAAGCATGGATGGATCGCATGGAAACTTGTGGGTCCCGCTCTGTTAATTAAAATCTTATATATTAATTAATTACTTAAAAGAAGCATCATGAGAGCGAAATTCTTCTTCATTCTCATCATCATCATCATTATTCGAAGAAAAAAAAATCAAATTCCATCTCATATTAATTTCATCCAAAAAATAATAACAAAAACAAAAATTCCAACCAAAAAAAAAAAAAGTCGATTCTTCGCTTTGCCTTCAAATCTCTCCAATCCAAATCTCATTGCCTTCCATCGTTATCTCTTTTCCTTTTTCACTTTCTTTGGGAATCCACGAGATCTCAGAATCACATCCTTGATTTTGGGATACTGATTGGTTTTTGTCCTGAAATTTACGATTTCACCTAAAATTATTGTGATATTTTAGCTTGTAGGGTTAAATTTTGACGAGAATTTGGAGACTTTTGGATTTTTTTTTGTTTTGTTTGTTTGTAATTAGGGTTGTCGATTTCGGCGAGCGAACATGGAGAAGTACGAGCTGGTGAAAGACATAGGTGCTGGGAATTTCGGAGTGGCCAGGCTCATGAAAGTCAAAAACTCTAAGGAACTTGTTGCCATGAAGTACATCGAGCGTGGTCCAAAGGTGCGTTTTCAATGTTCTTGTGAGCTGATCATTCACATTTTCTATACCCAGATTAGCAATATAAGAAACCTCTAGTCTAAGGATTTTTTTTTTTGTTGCTAAATCTCTTTGGCTGATTGTGCTAGTTGATCACACGCACAAGAAAGTGTAGTGCTAGTTGTCTTAAATTGTATTATTTTCCCCAAAAGATTGTAGATTTAGAGTTGGCTTTATTGTTTTGTCTTGGATATAGATTGATGAGAATGTGGCAAGAGAGATCATAAATCACAGATCACTTCGCCATCCAAATATAATCCGGTTCAAGGAGGTTAGTGAATTTCTCACTACTGGACATTGAGTGGTGTTCTTGCTATGATGAGAAGGTTCCACTGAAGTTGATAATTTACTAAATCTCATAGCTTTCATCTTCCATACGTGATACGTGGGGTTTATGGATTTTATAGGTGGTGTTGACTCCAACCCATCTTGCCATTGCCATGGAATATGCTGCTGGTGGTGAACTATTCGAACGTATATGCAGTGCTGGAAGGTTTAGTGAGGACGAGGTTAGCTTGGCATTTGAAGATATGTGACCGATTTGTCACATTAGCTGTAGCTGCTGTGTTGATGATGAGACCCATGCCTACTTTCTAATCCTTTTTTTGTTTTCTCCAGGCGAGATACTTCTTCCAGCAGCTTATATCCGGTGTTAGCTATTGCCATGCCATGGTAAGGCAGAGAAACGACTTAAGCAAGATTACTAATCACTTAGATTTTTGAAGTTTTGTTTATCAATTATGTGGTCACCTTGTACCCATTTTTGTCGCAGCAAATATGCCATAGAGATCTGAAGCTCGAGAATACGCTCCTCGATGGAAGTCCTGCTCCACGTCTGAAAATCTGTGATTTTGGTTATTCCAAGGTCTGCCACTCTATCAAAGTTTTCACCTTGTCTATGAGAGGATCTCTTTGCCTTCTTTTGTAATTGTCGTAAAAGCATTGTCAAGTGTTTTGTTATTCTTCTTCTGTAGTCCTCTCTGCTGCACTCTAGGCCCAAATCAACAGTTGGAACTCCAGCATATATTGCCCCTGAGGTCCTTTCTCGGAGAGAGTATGATGGCAAGGTAATTAGGCATCATGCACTATCGCAATGAACTTGCATAAACTAATGGTTTTCTATGAAACTGTCATGCTCTTTACTATTTTTTTTTTCTTTCTGAATTTGGAAAATTATCTTTGTGGAAGTCGCTTAGAGATGTAATATTTTGTTCCTCTTTCAGATGGCTGATGTCTGGTCTTGTGGTGTGACTCTTTATGTCATGCTGGTTGGTGCATACCCATTTGAAGACCAGGAAGATCCAAAAAACTTCAGGAAAACAATACAAGTAGGTTTTTTGAGCCATGTGTCTGCATGTCACGGGCTAAGTCTGCTACATCCTATTCATCAATGTGTGATCTTGTTATACAGAAAATCATGGCTGTTCAGTACAAGATCCCAGACTACGTCCATATCTCACAAGATTGTAAACATCTCCTTTCCCGTATATTTGTCGCCAATTCACTCAAGGTATACGTCAATCAAATGAGCTAATGTTTATCCAGCAAAAAATATTCTTTAACTGTTTGAGCTACTTGTTGTTTTGGCAGAGGATTACTATTGCAGAAATCAAGAAACACCCATGGTTCCTGAAAAATCTACCAAGGGAACTCACAGAGACAGCTCAAGCAGCATATTTCAGGAAAGAGAATCCAACCTTCTCCCTCCAGACCGTTGAAGAGATCATGAAGATAGTAGATGACGCCAAAACGCCTCCTCCTGTTTCCCGATCCATTGGAGGTTTTGGGTGGGGAGGAAAGGGAGATGCAGAGGGGAAAGAGGAAGATGAGGAGGAAGTGGAGGAAGAGGAAGAAGAGGAGGTGGAGAAAGAGGAAGACGAAGAAGATGAAGATGAATACGACAAGACTGTAAAGGAAGTACACGCAAGTGGAGAAGTGAGAATCAGTTGATTTTTTCTTTTTTTGGGTTTTTGTTTGTGTAAGAAAGTAGTTCTCTTTGGTTTGCTGAAACGTGAAGTCTCTTTATTTTTTTGTGTTTGCCATTTGCTATGCGTTGGTTTTGGTTTTTTGGAGATTTGTAAAATTTGCAGTATAAGAAGAACAAACAGAGTTCGATTTGTGAGTCCCGTCAGGGTATGAACATTGTGACCTCAAATATATTTCTTGTAAATTAGATTTTTATCTTTGGAAAGCTTGTGTGTATTTCAGACTATTATCTTCTGTTTCTGAATTTCGTGACGTTGTTGGGTCAGTGATTTTCAATGTTTAAGCTTAGCGTTTCACCGATAAATGTTTAAAATTATATAGTCCAAAGCTTGGAAATTGGAATGTTGAAAATGCAAAATTATAGTCCAAAGCTTGGACGCAATGATTTAAGAAGAAAAAGTCAACTCGAAATGGTTAAAATTCAAAATATTATATTTTCCTTTGTGCGTTTGTGAATTGCGAAAATGAGAGGGAAGCTATCCCGCCATTAGGCAACTGCATAATCCTATACGGCCTTCGAAGCTCAGTTGGTACGGCGAGTGCCGACTTTTTAATCATTCTCGATTTGATTCGTTGGAGAGCAGAAGCAAAATATTCCACTGATTCAGTAAATGTATATCCTTTCGCTATCATTTCTAGTTCTAGGGTTTTTTTTTTTTTGTTCTTTGTCACATCGATGCGTTTCTTCAGCCTGCGAATATCACTGCTTACTGTTTTTAGTTTTCGATTAGGGTTTTCGTTGCATTTGGGTAAAGAGAATTCTTTTGAGTCATCACTGGTCGATTCACTTCGATTTGCTGTTTTTGGGGAGTATTTTACCGTTTTTTTTAAGTGCTGGAATTGGTGGCTAAAATCTAGCGAATTCGTTGTCGCTCACTAGAGTTTGTTCTAACATGACATTCTCAACCGGAAAAGTTTGCAGATTTCTTTGAATTACACCAAAATTTGTGAATTGCGTATGTTATAGTCAGTGTCTCAGTGATAAAGTGCTATACTTTCAGTTCTTGTTGCGATATCATCAGCACCTACTAAGCAGAATGCAATTTTTTTTCTGTGTTATTTATTAAGTGTGATGTCATTTGTCAAGGGAAGAGAAAATTACTGGAACCTCTTCAGCATGTTAAAGAGATGATTAATTCGAATCAAATAAGGCAAGGATGATCTTTTCCTTGCACTCTCTGGTTTATTCCAATGTTTCTGGCTGTTTCTTCTTTCTGTTTGCTCTCCGTAACTCACTGTTAAAATGCAGTAGGAGTCATCTCCCTGAAGTTCAGAAACCTAAAGGTCCTCAAACTAATTGGTCTGAACACGCAAAGGCGCTCGAGAGTACATCGTTTCTGAGCTCCAATTTCCTCTACGATCTAGAAAGTCAAAAGCCTAGAAGAGATAGAGATATGGCTGCAAGGTATTTTGGCTATATGTTTCATTCTTTCGAGAGCAATCATCTCATTTTCTCTTCTGTCATTGTTCCTTGGTTTTCTTTCATAAGCTTCCTTTTCTCTGTCAAGGGCAATTGCGTTTCCCAACGTGAATGTGCATACTTTGGCGCACCCGCAAATTGCCAAGGTAATACTGTTGAAGGGAAGTCGTGGTGATAGTTATAAATTTTATCGTGAGGAGGATTTTCATTACATGTTTTCCATTTCTTTGAATAAATAATTTATCTCATTGTAGTTCTTATATTTCCCTAGTTTCTGGTTGACCTGGCCCTTTTAGATAGACTCTTTTCTTGAACTGTACATATAAGTTAGTTATTGGTATTCTATGTTGGCAGGCTTGGCGTGCTCTTTCAAGTCTCTCTGTAAATAATTCCTACCTAAGACCTGGCATTACTCCTCCAGTTGATGATGGTGCCACTAATGGCTCATATTCTGCAAAAGAGAGATCCACTGTGAAAGTTACATGTAGCACTGATGGTTCTTTTTATCCGAACAGTCGGCAAAATCAAAGTCACATGAGTGTTTCAGGAACTGGAAGACACTTCCACAGTTCCTCTGCCCCTGGTGAAGAGAAATTTGTTGCTGAAAAGTTTGCACGGGTAAATGGTGAGGTGAGAGAATCGGAAACCAGTTCCACGCATTTAAATGGTTTGGAGAATCCATTCAGGAATTCTGCATTCCCAGATGAGCAGTTGGAATCTGGTGAAGCATTTCTTGATGACGATGATATACTTATGGTAATGTTACCGGTTATGTTGCACATAGTGTTTCCTTATATAGTACTCCATGTGAAGAAGCCGAATTTTTCAATCTTGTATCTATAGTATCTGTTTATTGTAGCATATTTGGATGACAGCAAAGATCAAAACTGGTTATAGCTTACCTTGTAGATTCTTACGTAGAAAAGGCTTGTGGTGAAAAATTACATCAACTCAAGCATGTGAACACTTTGTGATGCAGAATATTGATCTCGACCAAATTGCGATGGAACACTACCAATCAACAAGTACTCAACCATCAGTATCTAATTTTCCATTGAGAAATCCACCTGTGGATAGAAGTGCTTCCAGAAGAGAAGAAGAATGTCTGCCTCCTGAATTATGTTTCAACTGTAGTCATGGAATAAAGGTATGACTACTGCTTTTCTCTCTCTCTTATTTTTAAAGGGTTTAAACCTATTGGTCTTTCTCATTTCGTTTGATGTTGGTATCTATTCAGCTAGGGCTTTGTCCAGAAGCTTCAACCCATTTGGAGCAAATGAAGAACGTGTTGATTGCAGTATCAAACGAACTCCTTGACGATGATACTGATCTGAGTCCTGATCGTGCTAAACAGCTTCGTCAAGAGAGGTCTATATCCCAATCAATTCTGTTACCGTTTTCTTCACTGCTAAAGTTGCCTTTTTTTATGAGTGCCTTTTGGAGGCTGTAGTATATTACCTAGCAAAATGTATCGGGAATAATACAACGAAAAGAGGTTAAGCTTAAAAAAATAATAGATTTCCTGAGTCTGAGTATTTAAGGTATCACAACTGTGAGTATGCCTTGACTTTTGGCTAGTTTCTAATGTATCACAACTTGTGTTGTTTGCTAGGTTACAGCTGAAGAAGCAAATTCAACAGCTCGAAAACCATATCCGAGATAAAGAAAGACAAAAACCTCAGTCTTTGTCATCTGCACCCACTCCTGGTTTCCAGTTTGAAACACCTAAATCAACAAACCGAAAAATGGATCTTCCACAAACTGAATTTCAAGCACATCTTAGTGAGCAAGGCAGATATGCATGTGATAGCTGGAACATGCCAAGAGATTCTTCGTTTTCTGTAGATAGGTATGGTCTTTCATCTGCTCCTGTGGAGAGGGAACAATATGTTCCGAGGATTATTGACGTGACGTACACTGAAGGTTCAAACGACAAAAAGTGGAGCAGTAGTGATTTTCCTTGGACGAGAAAATTGGAGGTGATTAGCTGAGTTTCACTATTTTTTTTTTCACTTTCATTCCATGTGCTCATGTGTTTACTTACAACGTTCAGGTTAGTAACAAAAAGGTGTTTGGAAATCACTCGTTTCGACCAAACCAGAGAGAAATCATCAATGCTACAATGAGTGGCTCTGATGTTTTTGTTTTGATGCCAACTGGAGGAGGGAAGAGTTTGACGTATCAGGTCACTATAGTCAATCCATTACTTCTTTAATTTCATCTCTGATTCTTTATTCTATTTCTTGTTTTCCACTGAGATATTGTTTACATCCTACGCAAAAGAAATAAAAGTTTCAAGTTACGTTCTCCTAACTATTTCCTAACATCTTTCTTTTGCAGCTCCCCGCTCTGATCTGTAAAGGAATAACATTAGTCATTTCTCCACTCGTGTCACTTATTCAAGACCAGATAATGAACCTATTGCAGGTGAACACTTCAGCAACCCCCAGATATTCTATTTGTATCTTCGGGTCTATTGAAAGATTATTCTCATAGAGTGTCCGTTCCATTTCACGCTTTGATTTTTGGATCATGGTTTTAGGCCAATATACCCGCTGCTTCCCTAAGTGCCGGCATGGAATGGGCTGAACAACTAAAGATCTTTCAGGAGCTTAGTTCCGAGCATTCTAAGTACAAATTACTATATGTCACGCCCGAAAAAGTGGCAAAGTGAGTTGTTAATTTTATAAAAACTCTCTTTCTGTTTTTTCATTTGTTCAGTATTTCTCTTTTACTAGCCTCGGGTAGGATATATTGTGGCCTAGGAGATATGCAGTACTACAAGAGGTTTCATATAATTCTAGATTGGTTAGTAGCATGCTGTGGACAAGTTATCCAAGGCTCGCCACACTGAATGATATTACTGATAACTCGGAGCTAAGAAGTATCTCTTTCTTGACTACAGAAGCGATTCTCTTTTGAGGCATCTAGAAAGCTTAAATTCTCGTGGTTTGCTAGCTCGATTTGTTATTGATGAAGCTCATTGTGTGAGCCAATGGGGACATGACTTTCGACCAGACTACCAGGTTAGGCCATCAAAATCTTCAAAAAAACACTTCTTTTACTTTTTCGAGAAACATATTCGTCCTTTTTAACCCTCAAAATTTTTTGTGTGGAATATGCAGAGTCTTGGTATTCTGAAGCAGAAGTTTCCCAACATTCCCGTACTAGCTTTAACAGCTACTGCAACAGCCAGTGTGAAAGAAGACGTTGTACAAGCCCTTGGTCTTGTAAACTGTGTTGTGTTCCGGCAAAGTTTTAATCGCCCAAATTTATGGTAAAGTAAACTACCTAAAACCATATATGTATACAGTATTCCAGAATGTGGCTTACCAAGAAGTTTGCAGGTATTCCGTTGTTCCCAAGACAAAAAAGTGTCTGGAAGATATTGACAAATTCATCAAGGAAAACCATTTTGATGAATGTGGAATTATATATTGTCTTTCAAGAATGGACTGCGAGAAAGTCGCTGAAAAGTTGCAGGTTGGTCATTTGTATATTGAAGCTTTTTCATGTCCTGTGCATACCACAAATATCATGTTTAAACGTACAATTGGATACTATTTTCAGGATTTTGGTCATAAAGCAGCATTCTACCATGGCAGTATTGAGCCTGCTCAGCGTGCCTTAGTACAGAAACAATGGAGCAAGGATGAAATCAATATAATATGTGCTACTGTGGCGTTTGGAATGGGTACTGGTTTTTGCTAATGTTTTTTTAATCGACGGAATGTTGCTGCCATTAACATTTCACATTCCAGGAATCAACAAGCCTGATGTCCGCTTTGTTATTCATCACTCGCTCCCGAAGTCTATAGAAGGCTATCATCAGGTATTTAACTGTAAAATCAATCATAAAAATCTTATTCAACTGACTGCACATAAAGCTAGATACTGGTACTTCTTCTAGAAACTAACATTAAGCTATATTTTTAAAAATCCAAGGAATGCGGTCGTGCTGGCAGGGATGGCCAGCGGTCATCTTGTGTTTTGTATTACGGTTATGGCGACTATGTAAGTTCCATTTATGCTAACATATTGTATTTTTCGGTTCTTGTCTCCGCGTTTCTAGTCTGGAACGATGAATTTATTTCGTCTTTCATTTTTCTGCTCTTGGTCTTGTTTATGATACACGATATTATTTCAGATACGAGTAAAGCATATGATTAGCCAAGGAGGAGTTGACCAAAGCCCCATGGCATCTGGTTATAATCGTGTAGCAAGTTCAGGGAGGATACTTGAAACGAATACTGAAAATCTTCTCCGCATGGTATATAACGTGATGATTTCTTATAGCTGCTTTCAAAGTTATACTTGCTAAGATGTTTCTCCAAATTTTATTGCTTCAGGTTAGTTACTGTGAAAATGAGGTGGACTGCCGACGTTTCTTACAACTAGTCCATTTTGGGGAAAAATTTGACTCCACAAACTGCAAAAAAACGTGTGATAATTGTTGCAGTAGTCAGAGTTTGATTGACAAAGATGTCACCTTGATTACAAAGCAACTGGTATAGGACTTGTTTAAAGTTCAATCATGTATATCTAACTTGTTGTATGTGATCACAAGTGATATTCTGTGACTTGCACAGGTTGAACTGGTGAAGCAAACAGGAGAAAGGTTTTCTTCATCTCATATTCTTGAAGTCTACAGAGGTTCCTTAAACCAAATGGTATGCACAAATAATAATAATAATCTGCATCTCTTTTAAGCTTTAGGAATATTTTATATCCATATATTCCGTTTTCTTCCAGATTCTGCTAAAAACCTAAAACACGTATAAACCATGGTCCATTTTTTGTACTTGGTACTAATCGTTAATGAAAATCTTGGCTTATCAATCCCATCAATCCAATCAGTGTGGCTCGATCTCTTGAAATGATAACTGTCTTCTCTGCATCTAGGTCAAGAAACACAGACATGAGACTTTGCAGCTCCATGGAGCTGGAAAACATTTATCGAAAATTGAAGTCTCCCGTATCATGCACTATCTCGTAACAGAGGACATTCTTGTGGAAGATGTTAGGAAAAGTGATATGTATGGAACTGTTTCATCGTTGCTCAAGGTACTTAGTTGTGAAATGGAAGCCTGGTTCTGTGTGTGCACATATTATCCATTCTTGAAGCTGTTACACACATAACGTCTATTTACCTATCTGCATCTAGGTGAATCATTCAAAAGCTGCATCACTCTTTTCTGGAAGCCAGACCATAATGATGAGGTTTGACTTTGTGCTTGAGATATATCTTTCTTTTAACTTTTAAGGTTCGCATTAACTAGGTTCAAGCAAATCATTGCAATTAACTTTAGTTAAGACTTTCATGTTCTGTTGCAGATTCCCTTCTTCTGGAAAAGTATTAAAGCCGAGTAAACCCGCAGCAACCCCAGCAAAAGGTCCGATAACATCAGCAGCAGATGCTCCTCCAGAAGATTTGGTATATCACTTTCTAGTTTAATCTCCTTTTTCCTGTTGAGATCTACCACTTTGAAGCTGAGAGGTTGGTTCATTGATCTTTTTCTTTAGAATCTCTCCGTCAGAATGTACACGGCCTTGAGGAAGCTTCGTACGCTCCTCGTCAAAGAAGCCCCTGACGGTGTCATGGCGTATCATATATTCGGGTAAGTCCTAAACACCGTTTCACTTCTCGTTTGCCATTATCTTCCAATTCTTTTACATGATCATGGTCAATTTTGATTCATATCCCCACTAAATCATTCTATTTGTGGTGGCAGCAATGCAACGCTTCAGCAGATGAGTAAGAAAATTCCGAGAACCAAAGAGGAACTCCTCGAGATAAGTGGCCTTGGGAAGTAAGTTGTTTTAGCTTTCAAAACCTGTAAGTCATAATGGAGAAAAAACGCTCAGTTTGATGATGGTGTTCTCTCAGGGCCAAAGTAAGCAAGTACGGTGATCGATTGTTGGAAACAATAGAGTCAACGGTCAGTGAGTACTATGGAACCAATAAGAAAGACTCTGTCATTAATAATGACAGTCCGGATTCAGGGAAGAGGAGAAGAGACGAGAACATTAGTCCAAATGTAGCCGGGGATGATGATTTCGCAGAGAGCTCAACCCAGGCCTGCAAAAAAGCAGTGAGAAACAAAAGCAATGAGGCTCGTCGAGGTGAAAATGTAGATGGATATGGAGTAGGTATGGTCATGGACAAGCTTGATTTTGATTTCGAAGACGAAGATGGGTCAGAGATACGACCAGAGGGAAGAGTACTACCTTGGTGAAACTATGATCACTGTGAAATTTTATTTGTAAAGAATTTTTCGCTGCACGTTTTTGTAAACTTGTATGGCCTACTCGGCTACTCTATTGTACCTTAATGTTCAGTATATTGCAGAAAGTATTTGTGATCTTTCCAAGTTGTGGTACCCGATTCGGTATGCTTTAACCGATCTGCATGGAAACCGAAATATGAGTTATGATTTTCGATCGGATTATATTCGATCCACTGGTGATCAAATTTTCTTGCACTGTTCTTTGCTCAGTGCGATTGTCTCGACTTTCAATGTACTTTTCAAATTTCTATAATTTTGTGGTATTTATCAAAATCTCCATAAAAATATTTTAACAGATTTATGTTAAACTCGGTTCAGTTTAGGTCATCTACAAATTTGACTATCTCATCTATTTCGTGAAACAAAATACATACATCTATTACATGATAAGAAAAAAGAAAAAAAAAAATGTTACATTCTTATTTACCTCGGGCCTCTAAATTTCGGCTCCGATCGAGATTTTACCATCGTCCTTGATGCTATATGGTGCTTAGACAAGATCTCTGCGATGAGTTGCCGACCAAACAAATTAGAGTTTTTGAGAATGAGGTTTCTTGTGGAGGAGTCAACAACGTATCCTTGACCAGGCATCCATTGTAGAAGTTGAAGAAGCAACTCCTTTTTATCTGGCTGCGAAATGTATCGAGATATCGCAATCTCAAACTGAACCTGAAAACAAAAGAACACAGAGAGAGAGAGAAAAATGAGAGTCCAGTATGATCAAAGCACAAAAGCTTCTTTTCATGATTTCTAAGATATTTCAACTGTAATGCAAAATTATATCCAAGCAAAACGTGTAATAGATAGCTTTATATTGTTCCCGGTTTGTTATTTACCTGATCGATTTTGTGGCCAGAACCATGCAAGACCTTCAGAACATCGTTCACTAAATTAACATTCCCGGAGTTCATGAAAGCTCTGCCAAATCTCTTCAAAGTAGGCTGTGAGATCATCTTTGCATTGTCCTGGTACAGAATCTTGATAATTAGACCGTTCACACAGTGGACCAAATGTTAAAAGTTGCGTAAGAGAGTGATTTCAAACCTTCACTACAACATATGCGTCTTTAAGGAGTTTCCCATGGATTAGAATGTGAAGAATCTTCTCATGCAGATCTTTGCATATGGTTCTTTTGCTGTATCGTAGCATACTGTAGACTGAGAATGCTTCTGAATGAGCTCGAATTTTACCGAGATGGTAAATTAAGGACGAACAAAGTTCCTACAAATTTTGAACAAAGTTGTGAAAGACGCAACATTTTGGTTAAAAAAAGTTTGGCTGAAATGCAAATTTCTCATTATATCACATTACTTATCCAAAAAAATCGAAGAAAAGAAGAGCTAAGAAGCAAAGATTTTTTATTGGAACACTGAAAACAAGAAATGCATTGATGCTAGTTACCTCCTCAAGCCGGTGGCCTTTACTGTGCATGTCAAGTAAGGTCTGGTACGCAAGTAGGTGCAGTTTCTCCTTGATGAAATATTTGATCAAGATATGGAAAGTATTATAGTCGGGACTAACAGCTTGCTCATCCATCTTCTTCATCATTCGCATAACACTTTCCATTTCTCCTGCTCTGCAATAGGCACACAGCATTGTGTTTAACATAACCAAGTCGCATTTTTCATAAGTGGATTCAGAGTCCCTTGCAAGTTGTTTTGCCTCCTCGAAACGCTTACTTCGACATAAAGCAGATATCATGATGCTGTTTGCATAGCCATCTGAAAACGGGAAACTGAAATCATACTCTAAACAGGGGAAGACTCTGTACGATTCTTAAAAATATGATCGGTCCGGTGCTTAAAAATGTGTAGTGATTCGGACAGAGGGAACCAGATCCTCCTTATCGTCCTCTATTAGGTTCTGACAAATCTAAGAAAGCTCTAACCCCTAGGACACCCCAAATTGTAGCAAACTGCAAAGTTTTGCTAATCTTAAACTCATAAGAGATAAGTCAGAGAGGCTCAACATATAGTACAACATTTTACCGACCCTATCTTGTAGTGGAATGTATCCCAGAAATTAAAGCAGCAACCCATGGAAGAGTCAAGAATGAAATATGAAAGCTAACTTGCTAACTAATCATTAGTTAAAAAAAACATACCAGATTTAACACCTTTCCCTTTCATCTCATCAAAGATTGACCTCGCTTCTTCGAACTTTCCCGCCTTTGAAAGACCATCCATCAGCATACAATATGGCATCTAGAGAAGAAAATAATTTTTTTACCATTATATAATTGCAGGGTAAAGAGGAGCGCATCACTCAATATAATTTTATCAAGATAGCAAACCAATAAACTATGTTTTCTATCATGTAAACGAAAATTGTCCTTTGATCGTCACAACATGATAAATATTATTGCCGTTACTCCACTCATCATTTTGCACAAATTACAAATGTACAGCGAGCTTTTCTGAAAAATAGTATTGCTTAACTACCTCGTTCTCGGCATAGCCTGCAGATTCAAGTTCAGAAAGTAATTCTCTGGATCTTTCAAACAAACCTCCTCTAATATAAACCTTGAGTAAAGTAGTCATCATCACCTGCCAATATTTGCAGCTACTGTAATCAAAGAACTCATATAATAACTAGAAAAATGAACCCTATGGTTGCATGAGAAGTCATATAAAAAATACTGACAAAACAAACCTTGTTTGGCACTATTCCTACTGATTTCATCTCAGTCATCAGCTCATCAGCTTTCTTGTAATCTCCTTTCCAAGAATAAGAATTGAGGAGGGAGCTGTAATGATATATGTTCGGTGAATGACCTTTAACTTTCATCTGTTGGATAAAGCTTTCAGCTTCTTCACATCGACCATTTGAAGCACAAATGGCTAAGACAGTCCCATACATCACACCATCCATCTGTATTCCGTTATGTGGCAGCTCTCCAACGAGTTCCATCGCCTTAGAGTATCCATTTTTTACCTTGATGCAACCTGCAAGTAGCTAAGACATCAAAGAGAAAATATATTATAGAAGCTAAACAAAACAAGACACTGCATATACAGTCCTGGTTTTTTCACCTGTACTTTCGTTAAATGAAGAAACGTCTCAGTACTTCTCAATCAGCTAAAGGATCTAAATCACAAGTGAAAGGGGGAATCTTCAGCTGGCATACCGTATTATACGTAATCACATCTGGTTTTAGACCATCGCGCTTCATCTGATCAAACAACTTGAAGCAACTTTCAAGCTTCCCGTTCTTGACCAGACAACTAAGAATGGAGTTACAAATATAGACGTTGATTTTGGTTGACTCGTCTGGAATGCTTTGATATATTTCTAGAGCCTTGGAGACACTTTTTGCCCCCACAAACTTTATGCAGCTGCTGTAAGTTGAAACACTGATCTTTCCTTGTTGTTGCATCCAATCAAAGAGCTGCGAAAATTGCGAACATAAAGTACATTTTTTATGCTCACCTTGATATCTTAACGAAGCTTGTTTCGGCATGTTAAAATCAACAAACCTGTATAAGATCTTGCCATCGTCCAGAGATTCCAAAATCACGCAAAATCACATTCAAGTCTTGTACCTTCAAAACTCCTGCTAATCTGCAGAGAAGACAGTAAAATAATGAGAAATCACATTAGCCAGAATCTAGCTCGAGAAGCTATAAATATTAAGAGAAGACGAAGAAGTTGTGCTGCTGATAAATAGAAAACCTCTGCAGAGAGGAGAGGAAATCCGGGGACCGTTCGACCTCAGAGATGGCGGATTTCCTCGTCAGGTAGGATTTGGAATGACGCTTCGAACGAGACGCCTCTGCTACGGTGGCCGGTGATTCCGCGACGGTAGATACCGCCGCCGCCGACGTAGCCGTTGCCGCCGTGAGAGTACGAAGGGAGACGGCGGGAAGGGAGAAAGACGAAGAGGGACGAGAGTTAGTGGTGAAGAGATGTGGACAGCGAAGCTCAAGGCCCAGAATTGGCGTCTCCATTTTATCCAAGCTTACGAGCGAGGAAGAAGAGAGTATAGTATCTTACTTACCGGAACGTTGTTTCTAATTTCTTAAAGCTGAATTTACTATAGTACCCCCAGTTACAGTGGATTTTAAATAAACATCGAATGCTTGGAGGAGAATGGTAAATTAACGAGAAAAAGGTCCAGTTAATTAGTAATTATCCCTTTGACCAAAAAAAAAAAATAGTAATTATCCCATCGTAAATACATGAAATCCCAAATCTAACCTAAACGGAAGAATAAACACCGTTACTGTGTTAGGATCCACGTGTGACGTGGACGTGTTTTCCACAGAATCAAAAGCAGTCTTCTGGATTTTGAAAATGGGCCTTTCAGCATAAAATTGACCCTACGCGTCATTATCCAACGGGCCTAAATTACTGTTCATCATTCCGGATGTACTGTTCATCGTGCATATTCTTATGTGAGGCCTCGTTAGATGAAAAGAATTTCTACAAATTTTCCCAAATTTTGTTTCTTTTTAAACTTGCAAGTTTGCGAGTTAACATCTACTTTATTCTTTAAGAAAAAAAACTGATGAAAGTTTTGATAAAGTTCTTAAAGTTGCGAAGTAGTTTCCGGTAACTTAAAACCGATAATCTTACATGAACATTGCTACCAACATATATTTTAACCATACAAGATAAATCATGTTGCCAAACGTATTTTTGCCATATAAATTTTGAAAAATGTAGTCTTCGCTATTATTATTTTTTATCTTGCAAATGAGAAAGGACAAAAGAATTAGACTTATTTTCTCTGTTTAACAAAAAGAATTAGAATTAATTATTTTCTCCTAAATGATAAATTGTATAAGAAGGAAAATAAAGAAATCAGATTCTTTGCAACAAATTGTACGGCAGGAGACCGACAAGGAACAGCACAGCCCCACTTCCCTTCTCCTCATACGTTTCGTGACACCCACTTCACCACTCTTCTCGCTTTAATCTCACAATTCATCAGGTTCTTAATCCATTCTCGAATGATTTTTGTGTTGTTCAATTCGTTATTAATATTGTAAGACACTGTCATCCAATATTATTGCAATTTATTTATTTAGTCTCTATTCGTATTTGCTTGAGTTAATTTGTGTAAAATGAATATCG